GGTTTACTAGAACTTTCTTGTTAGAAAGAATTTTTATTTCTATGGACTTAATCAATTAAGCACGGTGTTGTTGGTCTTCTCCAACCATTTTTATGAGGTTTAAAATATGCGAGGAATGTGGCAGGGTACACAAAAAAGTTTCAGGTGAGTCACACGTGTGCCGAACTCAAAGAAGAGCATTGTTTGGACGACAATAACCGCGCGCTACCGAAGAGGACCCCTTCTTCTTTTACAACGTTTAAAAACGTTCTTGAAAAGACTCTTGATAGCAAGAACCAGATGTTGCCCCGCTATTATTAATAATAATGTTATTCATTTATGTTCGATCTACTTTAAATCAATTTTTTAAAAGGATTTTGAAGTGGAATTTCGATTTATAAAGAAATTTGATTCATTGAGGAGCGTTTTTGAAATCAAAGCGCATAATTTGCAGGTGCGGCAAAAAAATCGCCGGAAGTCGTCCGTTTTCAACGGAAACACGACCGCTCTTGCATATCTCCATCTATAATGCCAGGTTCACCTCCACGTCGTCGTCGTCGTCGCGAATACCGGCCGCATTAGGTCATGCCGAGCGAGGTTTGTTTGTAAAATAGGATCTCGTTTACAGTTAATACTCGCCACCGACCGCCAAAGAACTGCAAACGTGTTAAACATTCAACACCAAAGACGCACGTTCAAAGAACGATGTGTTAAGAAGTTAAATATTTATGATACGTACATATTTGTATGAGGGCAAAAGGGGAAGACCGGATTGAATTCTGGATGGATTCGAAGGATGTGGTTATTCGTCCGGTGAGAAAAGAATGATATTAAATTACAAGAAAGAAGTATGTGGGAAACTCTGAAAGGGAATCCCGTTTTCGATTTCTACATAATATAAAAAATGTTATTTAATACTACCCTAAAGTTAACGACAAAAATAATAACAAGTAAAATAAATGAATATACTTTATTAGCACGAACAAGGATTCAGTACAGATCAGGAAACTCCTGCACGGATGCCATATTTGTTCTAATGTAAGACAAATAACCAAAAAGTCGATCGAATACATCCGAGCCTTCATGTGTTTTATTGATCTGGAGAAGCCTGTCAATCGAATACAGTTAAAGGATATAATACATCTCCTCTATGATAGACAAGTATCGTACAACATCATTAAAACAATTGAAAATATGTACTTGGATAACAAGATTCAAGCAAAAATAAATGGCGAACTAACTGAACAGATTGCAACCGTTTCTGTTTAATACCGTAATGGATGAAATTATAAAACAGGAGGATACAAGCAGGGAAATAAGGTGGTTAACATCCTGTGCTACGCAGACGATGTGGTGCTGGTCGCGGAAAACGAGGATGATCTCCAGAGGTTACTGTTCCACTTTAATAAAAATAGCAAAACAGTTTATCATGACACCGATCAGATACAAGCTGGTGGTTGATGATAAAATCATACATCAAGAAATTAAATTCAAATATTGGGGTATTAAAATATCTGGTTACGGGGATATTGAGACCGAATCAAAATGATTAACTGTTGTTGTCCTCACGTGATTCCTCACCTAAGGGATATTGTCAATTGTTGCATATTGAACTGCAAATTCCCTTCCATATGGAAATAGGCAAGGATGATACCGATTCCCAAAAATAAAAATCCGAACTCTTTTGCCGGTGTTGTCTAAGGTGTTGGAAAAAGTTATGTGTGAACAATTAAAGGAATATATTTATAAAAACGAATTGTTGCCTAAGGTGCAATCTGGTTTTAGGGCGGGTTATAGCTGCACCACTGCATAGCTGAACATCGTAGATGGTATTCTTAGGACATCTGATGGCCGTTAGGTAACCGTACTGTGTTTACTTGATTACTCTAAAGCTTTTGATAGACTGAATCATAAACTTTTATCTTCAATTTTAATCCATATTGGATTAAGTCAATCGGCAGTATGTTTCCATATCGACTACGTATCAAATAGAGTACAGCAGGTTGCAGTGAACGGTTGTTATTCTGATTCTGCACTGGTTCAAATCGGACGTCCACAGGGATCTATCTATGAAAAATATAGTCAATTCAAGAATATAATGAGGCACGTTGGAACACTGATGATACACAAATATATTATTTCTTCTCTGAGTCGAAGGTAGATGTTGCATGTGACAAAATCAATGAGGACTTGGATCGATTGATTAAGCTTTCCGATGGACATAGTCCTTGCATCAACACAAAGAAAACGGAGTTAATTTTATTTGGTCTAAAAACACTTAAATTAAAAGATACAATTAACAAATCGGTCAAAAATTCGATTTACACATTAAAAGAAAGAGCGTACGCGTTATAAAAGCTTATTTATTCCAGCAGAGAATTCATAAATAGTACTGTCGCATTTCAACTTTGCTGATTGTTTGTATTACCCGTTTTTATCGCATACACTTATGTACAAAATTCAAAAAGCACAAAATTCTTGTGTAAGATTGTTTGGGTTGAGGCGAAGAGATCATATTAGTGATAAATTGTCAGAAATAGACAGGTTAAATATGCAGTCCAGAAGGTTGGCACATGTAGCACTTCTGTTCTGCAACCTTGTCTTTGTTAGACTGAAGGAATCAAGCTGCAAGATCGGCAAGGACCTAATTGACAAAATATTTCGAAATAAACATATTAGAACTGAAGCCAAAGTCCGGATATACAAGACTGCAATTAGACCTATATTAATATATGCAGCAGAGACTCGACCAGAAACTTCTAAAACAAAAATAATGCCAGAAACAACAGAATTGAAAATAGTGCGTAGAATAGTTGAGAAAACATTGATAGGCAGAGAAAGAAGTGAGAACATCAGACAGGCTTGTAGGATAGATAACATCAATGATTTGCTATTGGACAGAAAGAAGAAATGGAATGAGCACATCGACAGAATGGCAGAAGAACGATTTGTGAAAATAACACGGGAATAATAATAATATAATATAATAAGCATTGGAAGACCTAGAAAAAGGAGTGACAAACTTTCAAATGATGAGGGGGCAAAAAAGTGAAGAAAAACTCCCTGTTTTTCTATGCCTAAATACCGAAGGAAGAAGAAAATTTGGTTAATTTTTTTTGCAATAATATTTGGGTACTTAATCATATCTGGACTTTGTTACTAAGGAATCGATTTCTTCTATTAACAGCGTTAACCACTCCAGCAGTAAATGTTACTTCATGGCTTTGATAACAATTGAAATTAATTATACAATAAAGCGGGGGAACTAACAATGTGTTCCTTAATCTATTCGCTATCTACTAAGTCTTCTTCTATAAATGTCTTGTGGAAGTCTCCGTTTTAGTTGATTATGGATGTCAATATCTCCCAATTGATGTTCTTGTGCACTTGGACACGTTTGGCGGTCTTGTAAGTACTTTTTGGTTGTTGTAGTAATGTGTTCTGTTATCGTTTCGACTCCTAGTTCTTCATGTATCTGCTGTTCTTAGAATTTTATTTTGTAGCACTTGAATTTTTTTAATATTAGATTTAGCTTGTTTAATTTTTTACATCTCCATATATTCTATGTAAGTCTTTGGTTCAAATATACTCCCTGATATTTGATAGCGCTATCTTTCGGATTCCAGTTTAAAGGGTGATCTTCGATTATTATTGTTGTAGGATTTTTAACTTGTCTAAGGGTAAATATTTTGGCTTCACATTTACTTGGATTTAAGTAAAAGCACCATGTCAATAACCATTTATGTACCTTATTAACCGAGTTTTGGAGATTTTGAATGAATTTTTCTAGATTTTGATTGATTATAACCATGTCATCTGAGCAAGATGAAGCAAAAGATGGAGCGACAACCTTCCAAACGATTAGGAGGCAAAAAAGTGAAGAAAAGCAGACCTAATTACAGAAAGAAGAAGAAGAAGATATTTTATGTAAACTATGAATTTGGGAACTATATTAACAAATGCAGCAAAGACTCGACTAGAAACATCCAAAACAAAAATACTAGAAACAACAGAAATTAAAATAGTGCGTAGAACAGTTGGGAAAACATTGATGGACAGAGAAAAAAGTGAGAACATCAGACAGGCTTGTAGGATAGATAATATCAATGATTGGGTATTGGACAGAAAGAAGAAATGGAATGAGAACATTGACCGAATGACAGAAGAACGAATTATAAATCACAAGTGCAAAAAAGTGAAGAAAAGCAGGCAGTTATGCCTAAATACAGAAGGAAAAAGAAGAAGAAAATTTGGTTAATTTTTTTGCAATAATATTTGATTACTTAATCATACCTGGACTTTGTTAGTAACGAATCGATTTGGCGAAACAAAGTTAGTATTAATGTGAATCGATTCAGAATGTAATTTTTAAATGAGTCATAAAATGTTAGTTGTGGGTGTGTTGGTTGTAAATGGCTCGCTTGGCGGTTGAAAAATGTCGCCCGGACGCGCGTGTGACGTTTTGCGTTGAAATTCAAGGTCGTCCGATCGAGTTTCGAGGCGTTTTTACACAACTATTAATAATTCCTGTCGATAGATAAATAAACGGACGGAGCTATTATTGGGTCCTGCTTGTGGCGATCTTATTTATTTTCCTTTCGTTCGCTTCTGTATAATTTAAAGGCGGAAAACGCGCCCGTACCCGCCAACATCCGGCATATAACATTTAAATTTACATAAAAACGGATTCAATAAAATTTGTGCCTTCCTTGTTCTTTAATTCATTAATTCCTTTATTTTTTAATTTGATTTATTTTTTGAATTTCTTAATGAATCTGTTTTTAAAGTGGTAAAAGTATAACAACCATGTTTTTTAGTTCATTGCCAATTAACACCCAAAAATATCGCTTCAAATATTATTTTTGGTTTTCATCGGCGTCGATGGAATGCAAAAATATACAGTCGTCACGCTCAGACAGAAAACCGAAACGAAAATGTATGGCACAGATCCAAGCGAGTGGATCTGCGTCCTTTCCTTGAATGAGGTTTCGACGTAAACGTGGGGCGATTTGCCCAGTAGCTTAGCGACGATCATCGGATACGAGAGGCAAACGCCGGTTTCTTATCGCCTCTTAAAAAAAGATATCTAACAACGAACGGTGTGGTATAACGATTTCTTCGTAAACAGCTGTGGGAATCTCGCACTCACTCCTATCGCAACTAAATACGTTTTCTGTTTGTATATGTGTGTGTGTTACGTTATCAGTAAGCAGCGCCCAATAGCCTCATCGTCGATAATAGTAAAACCTTCTGCTTTGTATAAGGTTTTTGTAACAGTCGTGCGCTAAGCTTCTATATGTGTGTTAAACGTCAACAACGATTATGTCAAAATGTGGAAGAACGACCAAAACCAAAAACGTTCGCTTCTTCTGCTGTTGTACTTCGCAGAATTCAGAATGCGATTGTCCTTTGATGGTAAACAAATAAAAAAACTTTTACGTTGCTAATGGAAAAGAAAGAAAGCTTTGTTGTGTCCAACTTTCTCTTTTTTTTTTCCTAAACACCGTTTATTGTTATGCTTTGTGTTGTTTTCTCGCACTTTGAATTAAAATCAATCAAGGCCTTATTTCTCGTTTCTTTCGTTTCTTTCCGGAACAACACGATAAACAATTTTTAAATGAGATAATACAGTTGCGCACGATAAAGATTATTATTCTATTATGTTTTGTACTCCTTGATATGTCAAGTTGAAATTTATATCAATTATTAATAGTTAAAAGCATTCATTATACCAATAATTTTCTATTTTTGTTGTTATAGCGTGATGGGATGATCGGTTTGCAAGAGTGTGGGCCTGCGCCCCCGAGAGCGCCCTCGAATGCAGGGAATCATCGTACAAGGGAGCGTACGGCCCAAGGTTTCGAATATTACAACAACCCAATACAAAAAACGCGAATAAACGCTGCACCACGAGCTTCTTATAACGACCGTCATCATCATCACTTGGGAGGCTCAGTACCCCGTAAACGAGATTGCGCTTTCTCCCCGGAATTACTCTATCGTAGCAATTCGAGTTTAGAGTTACTCGATCACGTCAATTCGTACTCGTTAAAACGAGAGTACGGAAGTCACGGTTCGATCGACGTTATCGACAGGTCACAGTCTGGAGCTGGAGGTGATGCCTTCTTCGAAATGCTTCAAGTGTATCAACCACCAGCTTTAGGGGTGGTTACCGATCAACGATCACCGGGACCTTCGGAATTTTTGAGGATACAGAATCATACGAATGGAACTGATGATGGTGACGGGAGGAATCCACCTCCAAGTCCGAAGTATCGAGGAAGAATTTCGAAGTTTTTAGGACACTCGGGGAGTGTGTCGAGTGGATCTATGAAAAATATCCATCCAAAACAAACAATGGACGATAGTGTGATGAGTATTTCAACGACTAGTATGATGTCCAGTGCGGAATCTGAAGAAATCGCTAAGCGGAGAGCATTTACTCATTATGATTGTCAATCTCTTACGACCAGTTTGACTTATTCGGTGAGGATCCGTAAAAATCTTTCGAAACGAAGAAATACCACAACGGGTGCCTCGGCTGCTTCTACCATGAAATCGGTGTCCGATGGACAAGGCGGAGAAGAGGATAGCGGGGATGGACAAAATAATGATTTGGTTCAAAGTTGCCCATTCTTTCGGAACGAAACCGGCGGAGAAGAGGAACGAATTGTTAGTTTAACGAGGTTACAAGGCGGTGGAAATCGCAGACCATTGCACAGACCTCCTTTGGCCTATGGCGTTGCCGTTTTAGAGTTTGCACCTGGACAGACCCATTGGAGACATTCCACTTGTCCATACCAAAGATTACCAAGGCCCATTGAAAGTGTAGATCAAGGGGCGTTGTATTATAGGGAATATTTTAAAGGACAAGGTAAGAAATTAAAACTTTTTTTTTTTGGGTGCTGGAATAATTTTTTTAGATCACCAAAATTGGTTTGGAATGGATGAACAACTAGGGCCATTAGCAATTTCAATAAAACGCGAACGGATACCTCAAACGGATAACACCTTGATGCAGTATCAATATCGATTAATAATAAGAACATCAGAATTGTTAACGTTACGCGGGGCGATTTTAGAAGATGCTATTCCAACAATCAAATCGAGCGGAAGTAGTACAAGTAGTAAGTCGATGCATTCAAAAGAAGTTTTAGAATATGTTGCGCCGGAAATTCAACTTAGTTCATTAAGATTGGGAATGGGGGGTGAACAAACTGAAGACCAATTAATTAAAGTTGATGAACAAGGACTTACAAATCATTATAAAGTAGGTGTTATGTATTGTAAATCTGGACAATCGTCTGAAGAGGAGATGTATAATAATGAAGAGGCTGGAAAAGCTTTTGAAGAGTTTTTAGAAACAATAGGGACCAAAGTACGGTTGCAAGGATTCAACAAATATCGAGCTGGATTAGATAGTAAATGTAAGTTAATATAGAAGACTTTATAAAAGATTCATTTCATTGTTTTATTATTTTTTAGCTGACTCAACTGGATTATATTCTGTTTACTCTGAATACCAAGATTGCCAAATAATGTTTCATGTATCCACAATGCTTCCATTTACGCCAAACAATCGTCAGCAGCTTTTAAGAAAACGCCATATAGGCAATGATATCGTCACAATTGTCTTCCAAGAACCCGGCGCTTTACCGTTTACTCCAAAAGGTATTCGTTCCCAATTTCAGCACGTATTTATCGTCGTACGTGCAATCAATCCGTGCACGGAAAATACTCACTACAGCGTCGCCGTTAGTCGATCCAAAGACGTTCAAGTGTTTGGTCCGCCTATCAAAGACGGTGCTATTTTCCCAAAAGGTAAAGCTTTCGCTGATTTCTTATTGGCGAAAGTTGTTAATGCAGAAAACGCGGCTCATAGATCAGAAAAATTTGTAACTATGGCCACAAGAACTCGACAAGAATATCTTAAAGATTTGGTTACAAATTATTCAACATCTACACCTATTGATACTGGACAAAAATTCTGTAAGTAAAATAACCGCCAAAATTTTATTTTCTAATAAACATTTTTTAGCAATATTTAGTAGTAAAAAGAAAGAAAAAATACGTCCTAGATTTATACCAGACGCGTGCCAAAGAGGAGCCCTTTTATGGCAGGTTTTGTTAGAAGATTGTGGCCAATCTCAACAAATTGAATGTTTACTCGGGATCTCAACAGATTCCCTTGTTTTAATTGAAGAACAAACGAAACAAATCGTCTTTGTAACCCCGTGTAAATCTATTTTGGGTTGGTCTTCATCGCAAACGAGTTGTTTAAGAATTTACCACCATCAAGGTGAACGAATGACAATTCATATTAAAGATACATCAGAAAGAGATGAATTGGTCGAAATAATTGATCGATTAAAAGCAGTAACTCAAGGAACGACGGTTCAAGAATTACAATTACAACGAAACATCATGGGTCAATTAGGATTTCACGTTCAACCTGACGGGACCGTTACCGTTGTCGAATGTCAAGGACAAGCGTGGCAAGCTGGTTTACGACAGAATTCCCGCTTGGTTGAAATATGCAAGATTGCCGTTTCGACTTTAACACACGACCAGATGGTCGATTTATTGAAAACCTCTACTTACGTAACTTTAACTGTGATACCACCGCTTCCAGACGGTTCCGTACGCAAAGGATGCACGCTATCCCAATGCAAATACACTGAAAGTAATTACGAAGATTACGAGAACGTTGCAGATGACGTGAAGAATCGTAAAACGGCGCAAATGCAAAAAGCCGTTCCTGGAAATCATCGAAAAATTTACGATCGAAGTTTTTCACCGCCCAGGTCTAGTAATAGTTCAGGGTATGCAACAGCTAGTAATGAAGGTACGATGACTTCGTCTTCTAGTGGACATTCAAATGATGATCCTTGGTATGATACATACGAAGATCCTTTGGTTTCTAAAAGAATCCATTCAAACAATACTTATCCGTCCACTCCAAAAAAGAACGTTTGGAATTCTCATATCCAAATGTCGCAATCCCACAATCATTTTCCGCAACAAATTCAGCATAACAAAGTTCAAGCAAGTCATTCTTTACCTTTACAACACATTAATTTTCAACAACCATTAACAGCAACTATTCATAATATTGGGGATATTGAAGTGCCTTACAAATTGGATAAAAACAACATTATTAAACAACACAACGAAAGGTTAAGAATTACAACAAACGAAGATTATGGAATAACTCGGTTACCAAAAATGGAGTATACTCATGATATTAATAGAAATACTGATGGACATTCGACGGATAGTTCAATAAGCGAGCGATTATGTGGGGTTGGTAGTGAAGATGAATTATCAAATGGTTCGGGTCAAGTATCGCCAAGATCCCGTCGAAAACATATTTCGAACATTTCTAATTCAAACAGTAGGAATCACAGTCCTAGATCGATGAACAGCGATGCAAAACTCCGTCCTGGCGTTACAGCTAGATCTTCAAATCGAAACAGCGCCAATTTAAACAATAATTTTCAAGAAGAACTTTTACGTTTAATCAATCCCGATAACATCGAAGCTCCTCCAGAAGCGAAACCCATAACCAAAGATATTAAAAGCCATTCGCGAGAGAATTTAAACGCCACTTCTTTATCGGTTCATAAACAACCATCTCCGGATGTTATTTTAACACTGGCAAGACCAGCGACAGTTATTTCGAATGCTAGTACAACTTCCAGTCCACTTCCGACGGAGTTTAAAAGTGGCGGAAGTGGAAGGATGTCGCCAAGACTTCCTAGTCCGAGCAAAACGAAACCGATCGTCGTTGGACCAGAAGCTTTACCTTTACCTGAAGATATGGATTGGCCCAGTTTGGTTGATACAGCAACTAAAGTCGTTGGATGTTCTGATGAAAATCGAATTGGAGATGGCGAAAGAAGAAATTGGGAGGATGACGGACCAATTGATGCTTCAATATCTTCAAAGTAAGATTAAATTTGGCCATAAAATTAATTATTCAAAAAGTTAGACAAAAATAAAGTTACTTTTTTTAAGTAGTACACCACAAATTTACACTTAACCGTTTCTAATAAATTGAGTTATGAATATTATTTTTTAATAAATTGTGACTAATAATTAAGTTCATTTAATTATCCTTAAATTACGTTAACTTTATCAAGTTTTTCAAGTATCAGAAGTGACTCAATGAAGAGATGCTGTAGATGTATTTGGCATAAAATGGTATGACTAAGTGAAAATGAAATAATTTATCTTTGAATCAATCATTTAAAAAACATGGGGTGTTTTAATGAAAGCTCTATTAACAATTATTCTTAAACTTCCCTATTTTGTGTAGTATGAAACGATCTTTTCTTGGTAAATTGGAGTATTTCATTTATAATAAAACTTTTTAAGTTTACCACAAAATTGTGCAACAAATTCATTACTCTCAAAAGGTAAACAATTACAATACATAAAATAGAATTTCAAAGGAAATAGTTATTTATTAGAACAGGATTAATAAATTTTCTTCTGGTATTATTTCGGAAATGGTTAAGTTTAGGTATGTGGTGTGCTATATACCGTATTTTCTCGAATGTAATCCGCACCTTTTTTACAAATTTTTTTTTTTATGTATCATTTTCTTCCCATATTACATCATCTTCGGATCAATACAGATCAATTCGGATTATACAAAACTTCGTAAATGATGTATATTGATGTAATATTGTTTTCAGGGAACGTTTTCCATGTCGCCTACACTCACTGAGCAAGTTCAGAAGCTCCTTTAATTGCTCCCGGTTTTGTTAATTCTCGAGTTTGTTAATATACATATACATACACAGGTTGTATTATGGATGTTATTCCACCAGGTATTATTATTATGACAAGAAGTCTAAACCAAGGGCAATCAGTCTATGATTAATTAATATCCTTATTTAATAATCCTCCTGGTCTAAGACTCCATACTTGTCTTAATCATTCCATCATCAGCTTTTTCATTATCCATCCTTTTTGTTGTGCCCTAACTAGGACGTCATTCGGGAAGTCTTTCAGATTTCAGAATGTTTTTTTTCTCAATATTACTAATGACAGCAATTTTTCCTTATCACTTGTTACTGCTAGCATCAATGTTATGCGCAATTTTTCGCAACCACACGTTTATAAAGAAATTTCCCACACACCTCTGCTTTCCAGTGTGTAATTGGGTGGCATATCCAGATATACTACCATTTCGTTGACATTTACAGTTTGAGACAAATTGAAATTTTCTTGAAAATCATTAGGAGCTTTTGGGAAATTGTAGTTCTGCGCCTCAACGATAACACNATATATATATATATTATATATATTATATATTATATATATATATATATTATATATATATATATATAAAGTAGTGGTGGAACGGATATCCGGCAATTATCCGGCCGGATACCGGATAGTTACAATTTTTTCGAATTTTGCAATTTTCGCCGATTAAGTTTTAAAAATTCGTATAAAATACAGTTCTTGGAATATGAGTATGAAATGTTCCCAAAGTGTTAATAAAAGTGTCTTCTTTAAAATGAGCCAACCCGTTTTGAAAAATAACTTTTAGTTTTTGAGGAAACAGTATTTGAACTTTAGATAAAATTTTCAATGTTGCAATTTTCATTGATAATTTGCAAAATTCGCTATAAAATTAATTTCTTGAAGAATCCTTCTGGAAATATCACTAATTATTAATAAAAGTGTCCTCTTTTTAATGCAAAAAGCCGTTTTGAAATATCACTTTTAATTCTTGAGAAATAAATTTTTGAAATGATCGACAATTTTTTCGAATTTTGCAATTTTTGCTGATTAAGTTTTAAAAATTCGTATAAAATCCAGTTCTTGGAATATGAGTATGAAAATTTCCCAAAGTGTTAATAAAAGTGTCCTCTTTCCAATGAACCAACCCGTTTTGAAAAATAACTTTTAGTTTTTGAGAAAACAATATTTGAAGTTTTGATAAAATTTTCGATGTTGCAATTTTCATCGATAATTTTCAAAATTCGCTATAAAATTAATTTCTTGAAGGATCCTTGTGGAAATATCGCCAATTATTAATTAAAGTATCCTCTTTTTAGAGTTGCTTCGTTAGTTAAATCAGCATCAAAAAAGTTCAATTTGTATCTTGGATCCAAATAAGTTGACATATCTTATCAGCTTTCTTATTAATTTCATTTTTATTCAAATATCGCAATAATGTGCCAATGTAGGGTATCACTTCAGAAATGCACCAGAAATTATAACCATAATGGCCGGATAACCGGATATTCGGCATCCGCCCTTTCGCAAAATCACTATCCATTCCATCACTAATATAAAGTCTCAAGTCTAAAATTAAGTGAAAAATGCGCAAGATTCAAATGTAATTTTTACCACTTTTTAACTACTTAAATAATTAGCACTGTTATTGCTATAGTATTTTTATAATTTTTCTCAAAGTCTGTATTTGTATGGCAGTCATTGAAAACGGTCTTAAGAATTTAACGAAAGTTCTATTAGGTTCCCATATATGCATATGTTATTAAAATAATGTTCTTGGCATTTTCTTTGGGGTAACCAGATGGGAAATAAATCCGCGAAAATAATTGTAGACTAAATTTGGCAATCACAGACATCATTAAAAACCGTGGCGAATTATAACATTGTTGGTTTCAACATTACAAATTTTACAATACATAAATTATATTCGTTCCCAGTGTATCTGGGAAGCAAGCAACCTCTTAGTGTTTATCTAATTGTATTATGAGGTTCGTATTGATGGGAAGCTGCTGAATTAAAGAATAGTATTTGTAACTAAATCCAATTATAACTGCAGACGAGTTAAGTATTAATGGTTGAGAGTTCTTTTGTACCACCTTTTTCATTTCGATGCATTTACTATTAAGATAATATTAAGCTAAAATCAGTTATTTAAGTGGTAAGATTTTTACAACATATCTATTCAAAACAAATATACTTTTTATCTTTTAATTTATATACCTACGTTATAAATCGAATTGTATTATAAAAACATTAATATTTAAAATTTTCTTTCCATTATAGTATTAGTAGTAGCGCAAGTGTCCCAGAATTACAAAGTCACGTCCGAGATTTGGAATCGCGCGTTTCAAGGGAAACGAGAAGAAGATTATCTTTGGAGGATGAAGTACGTAGACTTCGGGAGGATAATAAAAAATTGCAGGATCAAGCGCAAGCGGCGTTATTGCAGTTGAGAAAATTTACTGAGTGGTTTTTTAAGAACGTACAGCGGCAATAACTTTTCGTTTTTTCTTCTTCACTTGAATTTATAACGATTTACTATTTAAATTAATGTATATATGATTAGTTTTTTGACCGAAATAATTTTTTATTAAAGTATTATTATCGATCGCATGGTTAATGTAGCAGTACAAAATTAATTTATTTAAAATTGCGATCAGTATTCTCATTAATTTGATGAATTGACGAGGAATTAAAAGGAATTTCATTCAAGGATTTTGAAAAAAAAAAACAAGATTTATAAACGTATTTAAAGTATTATTTTCTTTTAATTTTTTTATTCTTTTATTTTAAATAGTTACCAGCTTTAAAAAAATTAGCTGTTCGTTTCAATTTCACCTTATTATTGCGTATTTATTTGTATTTTTTCACCCGCGCACTGTTATATATGTATGTACACACAAAAAAGGAAAAGGAAACGTTACTTACGTTTTTTTTTGTTCTCTAAAATACATATTAAGTATTACTGTTGTAGGTATATAAAATATAAGATTTATATAACACCAAAACTAGGAGATATTTATTTGTTAATTACGCGAATTAAAGATCATTCCCTTTTTTAACATCTATATATATTTCTTTCCTTCTCTCTCTCTCTTTCGCGTACGTAAATAAGAGACATTTTCGTGACCTGGTTATTGCCTTAAGAAATGATATATATTGAGTATTCTAGTATTATGTACGTTTTCAATAAATATGCGATTTACCGTTTGTCACGTTTGTTGGTTTATTGGTTTACCTTATCTTTCCATTAATAATCCAACCTTGTAAATCGTTTTATCCTGTACATAACTCCTATGGTGAAACTCATAAAATACCGTTTTGTTCCTAGATAACGGTATGGTATTGATTTTATTTTAGCTGGAACATTACCAGATATTTATTACATAGAGTGGATAATCCAGTAGTATTTGAGATGTTTGCAAAGAAACCGGTTGAAAGTGATGATGGTGAGGTAATAATTTTATTTTTTTTTTAATTCATTTTTAAATCATTTTCTATTTACTAGGACCTAAAAGGCTTTTTATATTTTTATCGATCATCCCCTAATTCCAGCTTAAACATATAACCTAAAAATTCTACACAAAATAATCCACGTGATACACTGCGCAATCTTTGTAAATATTTTTTTCGATAATGATTATAAAGTATATTTATGTATATGACCCGTATTCGTGAGTTGTATTCGTAATGAACAGGTTGTATTTATAAACGTTGTTGGGCGTTCAATGTGAAAGTTTTAGTACGATAGAGAATGGATGAGGAGGCGGTCGACGAGAATCCACGTCAATGTTTTTGTTGTTGTTGTTGTTCGTGTTTTAGTAAGAAAACGAAACAACACCAAAGGTTAAAGGAGGAGAACTCTAATCAAATGAGTTCTGAAGACCTTGGAGATGTAAGCTAAAAATAATTAAATCAAAATTGTTGGTTTATAAATATGATAAAGAACAGGTTTCTGTTAATGTTAAATATTTTTAGTCGCGATTTATTATCAATGTTTTGTTTTACGTTGATTTTATAGTTCGGAAATGAGTCATTGTTTTACCTTGGGCTGGGATTTAAAATGAATAAATAAAAAAACTAAAAAAAACCGTTAATTTAAAAGGCAAAAAGTAACCAAACCTTTTAATTAAAAAAATAACATTTTTTCATTATTTTATAATAAAATTATAAATCAAGGAATTCTTGGAAAATATTTATTTTAATTTTTATCATTTCTCTTTAATCAAAAAGTTTGTTTTACCTTATTTTTCGCAGTAAATTTATTTGCATAATTGTTTGAACACTTCTATGAACATTATTAATCATGATTTAACTCGGTTTTATTCCACAATAACATTTTGCATCTTTCAAGTCTTGCTTTAATTTTTAGCATTTAACACATTTTAGACTTAGTATCAACTCTGCAATAAATTTTCAAATCAGCTATGTATGCCTAAATATGAGAAGCAAACTGCAGATGTACTAAGTTATTTATGATTAAAGTACTAGTTAAAGTAGAAGTAAACGTCGGTTTAGAGTCTTGAGGCAGAATTACAGTCATCGCAAAGACATGAGGTAATGAGAGATAAAGCAAGGCAAAAATTAACTCCGCTCAACTTTGGAAAAAAATGTATTGATGTGTTTTTGATGTGTCTTCGAAGAATAACTATAAGTAACATCCCTTCATAAACTTAGCCAGAAAGATGCTTTCAAAATATTATCAGATTCATCATAGTTAAGAGGCCCAAGAGTTAACTGACCAAAATATTTAGGCATAAAATACGGATAATGTCGTAATGTTTCATAATCTTGGAACTTTAGAAAAAGCAACACAAAGTTTCAAAGTTCCTGAGTACAATATCTGATGAGCAGCCTTTGCTTTAAACTTGATAATCTTTTGTAGTCTTTCAAATTCTTGTCATTGTAATCAAATCTAGTATAAATCCATTTTGAGCATTAAAAGCATTAGATACGTCTTTTAGCAACGACAAATTATAAGAAATCATTGTACAGACTACCAAAATTACCATGTCTAAAGTTGCTGCGAACAATGAATATGAAGAACCACTATCAATGAGAGATTTTCATGCTCTACCAGCATAACACTCAATTCAGGAACATTCAAAGTCAGGTTATTAACGTCAGAAAAGCAATAGCAGGCTACAATATCTACCAAGGGTAGTACAGCTACCGTAATCTATCAACTTTAAATTTAAAACCACACTTAGTTATTTGATCACATGTTATTTAGTTAAGCTTCAATAATAACTAATATATCATAGATGAAGAACATCTTATGTACACTTAAAATTTTCCTAGTTTGACCATGAGTCTTTTATTATTATTATATAAGTCAGTAACAATGATTAACCAGTCATTATACGACCAGGAAAGTCAAGATCTAGTTATTTTTTGCGCGGCAGAAATGAATACTTATTGTCAGTATCTTTAGCTACCTCAATAAAGCAGCGATGACAATTCCCAAATGTGGAAAACCGTTCCAAATCCAATTCCTACCACGCAAATAGCCATCTCATCAAAAATCAATATTCTAGCATTCTTTGCCATTGCAATATGCATCAAAAACCCTCTCATCATTTGATAGGGCCATGAATCAATTTTACTTGATTCACCATCACTATTTATTCTTGTTTTGGTACAAATTTATGACTTGCTGAAAAATTTGATTTCTTCTTCGACAAAAATGATGTCATGTAAAATACACATTTTGCCAAAAAAGTTTTAAAACGCAAAATTTCCGTGTTATTGTGGAATAGTTACCAAATGACGTTTAATGTCAAAAGAATAGTCAATAATTTAGGTGTTTTGTCATAATGTCGTTCATTCTTGCAACTCAAAAACAAATTCAATATAAAAAAATTACCATTTCAAAAACTTTCTCCATATGAAATTACTAAAGTATTATTTTATAGCTACGCAATCGCTTATTCCCTTATAATTACCTAATACGATGTTTGAAGCAATAAACACTTAATTAAAATGTTAAATGATCATCCTAAAGTACAAAAAAAGAGTAAACTTACTTCTGTTAAACCGTCTCCTCCGCAGGCTTCATTAAATTTGACGTTGTATGATTTGACTCAACTCACCATTGGATCTTTAATAACAATAGAAGGAACAGTACTAAAAAAATGCAAAAGGTAAATGCTTTTTTTTTTATAGACTAAAAATTTTAAAATTTTTTTTGTTAGATTTTCAATAAATTTAATCTGCAACAAACAACCGAATTCAGATATAGCTTTTCATTTCAATCCTCGCATGGAACAAAGATACATAGTCAGAAATTGTCGTATAAGAGGATATTGGGGTGAAGAAGAAACAAGCAGCAACATGCCTTTTATGTTTCAAAAAGATAAAAGTTTTAAAGTAGACTTTTTCGCCACGGAACGCGAATTTAGGGTATCGATAGATGGTGAAGATTGGTGTGCCTTTACGTACCGTATGCCGTTGGGTTCTATTGTTGCTTTGGAAGTCCGAGGATTGGTTGAGGTAAAGGATGTTAAAACCAAAACGTTCAAGACTTATCCCGATAATGTTACACCTATTGATATTAAGATAGGGGATGAAACCAAAGATAACCTGGTAAGTAATTGGGAGGGTGTAAAGTTCTACTAAATGATTATTTAGAGACTGCCATTTGTAGGAAAATTACCTCAGCCTTTTGGTGTCGGTTGGGAGTTAGATGTTGCTGGAAGACTAAAATTGCTCCCACAAACATTCTTTATTAATTTACAAGAATCTCCGTATATTTGGCCACATCCAAATATCCCATTGCATTTAAACCCAAGATTTAGTAAGATTAATTTGTTTCATTAATAATTTTTAATAATAAATGTTTTTTAAAGATGCCATGAATGGTTCTGATGTATTCGTTAGAAACGCTTGGTACGATGGAAATTGGGGAGCAGAGGAAAGGGCGCCGGTTTGTCCATTTTTAGCTGGAAACGATTTTTTAGTCCAAATTCGTAACGATTACGATGCATTTACGATATGGTCACAGGGAAAAATGATTGCAGAATTTCGGATTAAACGTCCCGTCGACAAAATAATGTATGTCTACATCACAGGTGATCTTGAACTTTATAACGTTTCAATGCATCAACGAGAAAGATCACGTGTACTTAATCAAACAAATAAATCGCCAAAACAATCCAAAAAATAAAACGCTTTACTTAATTAATATTTCTATAGTAAATTATTTTTTTTAAACTTACTCTATACTTTTTATGGCTATTTTTATTATTTGTCATTGTTAAATAATAAACATTTTAAATTATTTATTAGAAATTGTTGACCCAAAAGATTCCTCGTCCGTTTTATTATTTTTTAATTCTTCTAAGGACTTATTTGATGTACAATTCTTTTTTGAATGCTTTTTCACAGCTTCCCCAACCCTTGCTAAATTTTTACTTGCTTTTGTTAAACCCGTTTTCATCACTTCTAATATTCTATTCCAGTCTGAAAATGTATTTTTCCACGTTTCTTTAATTTCATTTACAGTCATCATCGGACTTGAACCTACTTTTAAATTTTTGTTATTTTTTTGATTAGACATATTTTATTGTTGACAAATACTGGAAATTTCATATAAATCACAATATATGAATGCAGTAACCATAGTTACGAAACTACTATACACTTGCACTGTTCCACATAAAATGCAACATAGCTTAATAGTACAAGCATTGGGTAGTTTTGCATAAGAAAAGTTTTGCTTGGAAAAGATGACATCCTTATGATATTTCTGAGTTTCCGTCTTAAGAGACGCTCTGCTAAATCCGAATGTTTCTGGTTCTAGATCTAGTGTTAGTTCTACTTTTCGTTCAATAAAAATATACCACAATCTAACGCTGGGTAATAATTAAAACTTGAAGTAACAATCGACCTAGAACTAGAAACATTCGGATTTAGCCACACGTCTTTCAAGACGGCTAAACCCGAATGATTCTAATTCTAGGTCTTGTGTTAGTTCTAGTGATAGTGCAAAACTAGAACCAACACTAGACCAAGAACTAGAAACATTCGGATTTAGCCGCAAGTCTCTCAAGACGGCTGAACCTGAATGATTCTAGTTCTAGGTCTTGTGTTAGTTATAGTTTTAGGTTTATGAAAATATGCAACATAGTGATATTTTATCCTAACTAGCGCTAACTACCACCTATCAGTCATCTTAAGAGAAGTACGGCTAAACTTAATGTTTCCAGTTCTAAGTCTAGTATTAGTTCTAGTGTTGGTCTAGTTTTATTTGTTATTCAGCGCTAGATTGTTGTATATTTTTATTAAGCTATAACCAGTGTTGTTAAATACCCGGGTATTTATTTTCAAGGGTAAATTTCCTGGATATATACCTGGGGGTATTTACCCAAGATGGGTATTTAGAGGTATTTATAAAATTTAATTTAAATTGAGTTGATGGCAGTTTTGCAAGCACTTCAAGAATGCAGAGTCGATTATCGATATACCAAACTTATTTATAACATCTACAAGAATGCTACAATGACGGTAAAATTGCATGAAAGTACTGAAGAGAGTAGAAGTACCAGAGAGTAGAACCCAAATTGTTCATCACAGTCCTGGAGAGTGCATTTAAACAATTGAATTGGACCCAAAAACGCATGTAGTTACGCGCTATGCGGACGATGTAGTTCTTATTTCGGATAACATTGGAAAGATTAAACTAATGCTGACCGACTTAAAGGAGGTGTGTGCAAGAGTCGGGCTAAATATCAGCGAAGAGAAATCAAAATTTATGACAAATCTTGTTCCCAGCTCTAACATCAACATTGGCGATAATGAGATGAAGAGGGTTGACAGCTATGTATATCTTGGCTATGAGGTTCGTGTATTGAGAGATAATCAAACAAGCGAACTAAACAGAACGACCACACTCGTATGGGCAGCCTACGGGAAGCTTGGAGACATCTTCAAGAGAAAAGGCCTTCAATCAAAGCGTTTTTCCAGTTATGACATAAGGCTCTGAAGCTTTAACATTAACGGTAGCCACTGCCAGGAGGGTCCAAGTAACGCAAAGATAGATGGAGAGGTCGATCCTGGGTCTAACTCTGAGAGATTACATACGAAATGAAGACCTATGAAGAAGTGGTCAACATTGTGGCAAAGCTTAAGTGGAACTGGGCGGGTCATGTCGCGCGAATGAAGAATGAGCAGTGGATAAAACGATTGCTTGGGCGGAGACCGCGAGCGAGCAGACGAAGTAGACGTCAAAGGAATGATCAACAATTGGATTCAGACAGCACAGATTAGAATCGAATGGAAGAGAATAGGGGAGGTCTATGTCCAACAATGGAAGCGGAGGGCTTCTTGATCATAACCATAATAACTTGATCTAATCTAAATTACGACAGATTCGTCTTTGATTGTTGACAATTCCTCGGCTTCAACGTCTCATCATCTTCCTCTTCATTTTTTTTTGGAATCTGATATATTTTTACTGGTATCACTTTTATACCCGCTGTTTGCATTTTAGAAATACCTACCCTCCTCGTATTTACCCAGCGCCCATCACTGGCTACAACAGACACTGCTTTCCTCGTATTGATCCGTTATATCAAGGTTTTACTGTAATGTCAAATTATATTGACTTTATGTGGGACAAAGTAAGTAGGTACGTCCTGGACTTCTATAGAAATATATTCTTGTATATTGCATCTTAACTGAAATTCACTGAATAAATAACTTTAATGTTGAGTTTTGTGTTAGACACAAGTTATGTCAGATTGTGCAGGAATATATCTGGCATGGATGACTACGACTTAAGGCGTGATCTCGCTTGTTTACCTCTTTATAACATCTATCATATGAATGATATTAATCAAAAAGTAAACTTCTTAAACTCTCATCTGTTGATACTGTTGAATCTACATGCACCGGTGCGTCCTTTTAGAACTTCTAAGCCTTTTACTCCATGGATAACGCCCAATATTAAGTTTATGATGAATCTCAGAGAACAGGCTCTGGGTACATTTAGAAGAACAAAGGTTATTTCAATAGCACATTTAAAAATATGGACAGGCAGAGTAGTTGGAGACTGTTAAATAGGTTGTACATCTGGAAAAAACCCAAGCCAATTATTCCTGCACAGATCATTTTCTAAAATCTGTCGGCCATACTGATGTAGATACTGTTTTACTTACGTTTTATAATACAAATACTCTTTTTGCTGAATACCATGACTGGTTTTCTTTTAAAACAGTTGATACCCCTACAATAATAAGTGCATTAAACGAAATCAAATCGACAGCTGCTGGAACCGAATATCATATCTATCAGAAAATGCTTTCTCGACTTATTGCCATACATTGTGCAGATCGTGAACTCCTGCCTTGAGCAATCAGTATTTTCCGATGCCTGCAAGTCTGCTGATATAATGCCCTTACCAAAAAAAGTGAATCCTTGTAATTTCGAGGACCTACGTCCTATCAATATTCTTCCAGTTCTTTCCAAAGTCTTGGAAAAGTGTATGGAGGTTCAGCTGCGTACATATATGGATGAACACAATGTGCTGCCTCCGTTCCAATCCGGTTTTCGACCTAGTTATAGTTGTGCCACTGCCTTATTAAACGTCATGATCTCTTGAGGGCTCGCGATGATGGTCAGAGTGGAGTGGTTGTGCTCCTGGATTACAGCAAGGCTTTTGACAAAGTCAACCACCGAATGCTGTTATCCCTCTTGCATTATGTTGGTATATCTGAGTCGGCAGTGTCTCCTATAAACAGCTTCCTTTCTGGCCGAGTCCAGGTGGTGAGATTGGGAGAGGAATTTTCGGCTTCCTTACCTGTGGAGGCTGGTGTGTCTCAGGGATCGTCGTTAGCTCCACTACTATTTACTCTGTACACCTCTCAATTGCCCAAATGTGTTAAACACTCGTCAGTACACATGTAGGCTGATGATATTCAGCTGTATTTGACTTTTCGAAGAGAGCACGCTATCTTGTCATGTACAAAATTAAACGCAGATCTTCTAGTACTCTCGGAGTACTCCATCAAATTGGCGTTAACACTCAACGCAACCAAATCAACAATAGTTATCTTTGGCAATTTATCAGCTGATAATGTCAATGTTTTATTGAATGGTGAGCGACTGGTCGTGTCTCAGGAGGCAAGACATTTGGGAGTGGTGTTTGACTCTAATCTTGGTTTCACTACTCACGTCACTGCGTGTATAAGGAAGGCATACGCAGCTCTTCTAAATCTTCTGCTAAAAGATACTTGTGTGGCCATGTAGGGTTTAATGAAATTTGATTTGCATCGCATTCAAAAAGTTCAGAATAGTTGTCTTCGTTTCATTTACTCGATCAGAAAGCATGAAACTATATCTCATACTATAAGTAATGCAGGGTGGTTGAACATAAGAAACCGTTTTAAATACTATTTTCTGTGCCTCGCAAATAAAGTGGTTATTACGAAAACACCACCCTACTTGTATAATAAAATCACTTTTAGGACAGACATATATAATCTAAACCTCAGGCATAAAAGCACAATTACCATGTTCACAAAACAGCTCTTTTTGAGCGATCATTTTCTTACAATATTGCTAAAGAGTATGATGATTAGGGCCCGGAACTTTTGTAACGGAACGATACGATTTACCCCCTCCACTTGTTCTCCTAGAAAATGAGTCGGTGGCGTCAAGTCAACTCACCTGATCGGTTGTTATTGACGACCGACGATCGGTTTTTTATTGCGCATCAATGTCAACATTGTCAACTGTCAGTACGATTTCACTGTTGTCCAAATGTGCAGTATTCGACGCTTTTCATCCGCATAATTTCGTCAAATTTGCTATTTATCTTTCTTTAGTTACCTTNCCGTAGTATCAAGAGCTACATTTCCTTTAATGATGCTCAAACATTAAAATTACTTTTACAGGCGAACTTATACAGTCTGAAACTTTTAACACGATGTCCTAGATTATTTTGTATTTTGACTTAGCTCATTTATTCCCTGTACCCTTCATAAGAAACCGTTTTAAATACTATTTTCTGTGCCTCGCAAATAAAGTAGTTATCACGAAAACACCACCCCACTTGTATAATAAAATCACTTTTAGGACAGATATACATAATCTAAACCTCAGGCATAAAAGCACAATTACCATGTTCACAAAACAGCTCTTTTTGAGCGATCATTGTCATACAATATTGCTAAGGAGTATGATGCCTGTCCTTCTAATCTCAAGTATAAAAGGCCCGACATTTTTGAAATAAAGTTGCGCGACGCCTTATTAACACTACAAAGATCACAACACAGCGTTGATGCGGCCTCGGTGTTTTGACGTTGAAGCGAACGAATGTTATTATTTTTATTTTTTTATCTTTCTTTTTCATAATTAGTTATATAAGAGTGGAAAACGATATACGCTAACAGTTCTAGGTTTTTGTTTTATTATCTTGAACGTTTGAACGTTCAACTCCTGGTTGAGTAGAACAGGATCTTTGGAAACTGTTATCTGGACTTCGTTTGACTGCATAAAGTTTAAGTCTGATGATGTTATATTATCGTATTCCGTATTTATTTTTCTTGATTGCAGTCAATAAAGTGGTTTATTATTATTATGTTGTCTAAAGATTAGTCAATATAAAAACAGCCCACAATGATGATGTAGCAATATCGAGAGAGATGTTGATGCCTAATAATGATTTTAATTCTGAATACTTTGTTAAATTGATTTTTGAAGTGATAGGAATCTCTTTGTATTATATAGGAACTTTGTTAATAGATGGCAGTTTCTGTTTTAGGAAATACAAATATTTTCTTTTGATTTGTTGATGCGAAAAATTGGGATATAAAAAAATGTTTGTTAAAATAAGGAATTGTGATATATTTTGAGGTAGAATAAAAGATATTTTGGTGTATAAAAAGGACGCTAGTCGAAAGGGGAGATTAATAAAGGGGGTATGTTGGGTACAGGGTCAAGGAAAGGAATACAAACAGGCGATCTACTCCCTTGGAATCATAAAGCGTGGAAAGTAATATTGCAGCGGGCGGACGAACGTGCCGAAAGGGCGCAGCTGTCGCCCCGTCCCCGAAAAATCCGTGCGCGTACTGCCCTCGCCGGATGATGCAATAAATATCTTTCGCAGAGCGCCACCTGCCCCCGGCGTTACGACTTTCATCGGACCCCCTTTTTCGTATCGCCGCCACCACCACCGTCGTCACTCGGCGCGGAAAATAAGAAAGTTCTAAGAAACGGCGACGAAAATAAGGCGATGTATACTATTTACTTTTCTAGAGACAATTGAAAAGAGTTTTTAGTGCAACAAGTTTGAAAAGGTACAAAGTAGTTATTAAAAAATTCTTTTCGTATTATATGTTTATATACAGGGTGATTCTCAACCTATACGCATAAACTTTTGGATTTACTCCTCATACAAGATAGGTACATACCTCATAGTACAAGATTTTCTGTTTCATAGATATCTGTGATATTTACTCTCAAATCAAGAATACATAGAACATTTTAAAATAACATCACAGCAAGTGTCCACAGCATATGCTATTTTACATATTTTCTATTAATTAGGCTCCCCGAATCTACGATGATCATTGACTACTTAGTGGGATAGTCAGTGTGTTGGCGGATTGTCTTGGCAGCAGCATGTATCTGATTTTGCAATATTTGCTCAGTATTAACTTCCGTGGCTTACACTATGCTTTTTAAGTAACACGATAAGTAAAAATTAAGAGGATTGAGGCTGGACGATCCCGGTGGCCAGGTCATTGGACCATCTCAACCTATCCATCGTTCAAGAAACACATTATCTAGATGTTGCCGATTGTATCGGATATCTAGGAAACTAAAAAGCTTTTACTACAATTCTTTTAATCTTTTAGTCATTATTTGTCATGAGGATTAAATCCCTAAGATTATGCATATATGTTGTGAATCACTCTGTATATGATAACAGATTGAATGTGTAAAAATACATTCAATTAAAATCGAGGGTGGTGTGTGATGTGACGTTCGACGGATTCTGGTGGGTGAAGGCACTTTAGTTCCCCACCCATGAATACAGATTAGCATAGCCGGCGGCAGAAAGTGCTCAACTCCTGGCGTCAACGCCTGCTCGGATCGGTCGCTGTTGCTCGAGGCCCATTTGCACCCGGCACACGAAACTCGTTACCGGAGTTAGTTCCTTCGGTGCTGTTGCGAATAAAATTGGAATACTTTTCGCTACAGAAGGCCCCTTCTACCATCGACGCTACCGCCGCCGCCGTCGCCGCCCTTCATTGACCCCGCATTTTGTACTCGGCTTTCGCGGTCACAGACTCCGGTTTTTGCTTCTTTTGAGATCGGCTAACAAATTCCGAGACTCTCTTATACTTTGAGTTTACCCTTGGACCTTTTCTTATTTTACTTATAAAGTTGAATATCAAAAAGTAGCCAAAGGTAAAATAAATTATTGTTACTTATTTAAAAATATTTATAATTTATTTGCCTTTAATACAAGATGTCACAGTTAAAAGGAGCTACGAAATACAAAGCGATCATTTTCTATTGGAAGCAAAAATAAGAACAGACAGAGAAGAGCCTAGGTTAAACAAGGTAACAGATAAAAGAAAAATATATCCAGACGCCATAAAATCGTCCGTACGATACAAAACAAGAAAGAAACAGAAAGTACAAAGAACAAAGGTTAAGTAAAAGTGATGAACTTAGTTCATCGATCAAAACAAAAACCATGGGAAGATTTCGGAAACAAGCTAAAGAAGACAGAAAAGTAGCCAAAAGCTGTTCTACAAAGTTTTAAAAAGTTTTAGAGGTGGCAAAAAAGTCGATAGCTTAGCAACTGCAAATGAAGCAGGAAAATTACTAACAAAACAGAAATAATGAAAGTAATATTTCCAAAATCTACTCAATGAGAACGACAGAACACCAAAGAGACGAAGAGCAAGAAACTTTGCAAGAATAGCAAATAGAAATTAGATACTATTAAACAGCTAAAGACAGGCAAAGCACCAGGAAAGGATAAAATTATAACCGAAACTGTTAAAAACATAGGAGAACAAGGAATATTACTAGTTTTGAAGATTTGCAATAAAGTGTGCAAAAAGGAGTAAGTGCAAAAAAGGTGGGAAATCCGACTTATTCTGCCACTTTACAAAAAAGGTGATAAAAAAGAGCGTAGGAACTATATAAGATTGAGAAAACAAATCAAACCTTTGCTATTTGGATTTCGGGAAAATGAATACACTCAAGATCATGTTTTTGTCATTTATAGAACATTGGTATGAAATAGAACAGTTTAAGGCATTCCTAGATATGGAAACGGCCTTTGATAAAGTGCAAAAATATGGAAAACACTAAATAAAGTGAAGGTGGACCCAAAATTAATTAGAATTACTAAATGTATGTATAAGACAACGAGAAATTGTGTAATAAGAAGAAATATGGTATTCGAAGAATTTGTTGGGATAAAAAAGATAGTGAAATGAAGAAAATTGGCAGAAAAAGAGAGGTCATCCTAAAGAAACTTGGGACAATACAATAGGAAAAATACTAAAGAGGAAAGAGAAATCTGTTCCCCTCTTGGTAATTGACATTTGAGAGGACCGAGTCATCCCATCCGCCTATCTCCATTTATCTGTAGTTTGCGTGTATGTACTTTAATTTAAAATACAAGCTTCATTGTTGATTTCACGAGCAATTTATACTTTGTCATCCAATTTGTTCGAAAGATTGAAAAGGATATCAAATAAAAATAATGTTAGATAAATTAAATAAAAACAGTCAAAAATATTATAAAAAGAAAATTTTATTATCATCTAATTTAAATTCGGCCAAACAATTGATTCAATCCAAGAAATATATTTAGAAACTCTCGTATAAATACCTGGCACCAAATTACAATGAATCCCAAAAGAAGTAACCCCAACTATTTTATGAACAGGTGGATTGAATTGAATTAGATACTGAAGAGGACCTCCCGAGTCTCCTTGACAAGTATCGACACTTTTTCCTGGGTTACCGCCGCAAATTTGGGAGTTAGTCTCGATTCCATTGAGAAGTTTCTTTTGTGGTTTGTAAGTCGGTAAACACTTTTCTTTTTCTAAATTCATAAGATCCAATTTTTGTAGTTTATTATACATCTCGCCTCCGTAAAATAAAGCACCCCAACCAGTGACTGTTAATCGATCTTTAAACTCAAATTCTGATTGTAAACAAGCCGGTTTAGCATAAGTCGTGATTTGTACTGGTTTATTTAATTTAAGAATTGCTATATCGTTATAAAATGAATCTGTGGTATAATTAGGATGAGAATAGGTATTGATAACTAAAAATTCTTGTGGGTCTGCGTCATCTTTATCTGTTGCGGTATCTAAATCGCCGATCCGAACTACTTTTACTGGTCCTCTAAAACAAAAAAAAATTTTTTCTTGCAAATAATATTTTTATAAATTACAATTCTCTTGATTCCAAGCAATGAGCTGCCGTTAAAACAAATTGTTCACTGATTAAACTTCCACCACATTGGAATTCTATAGAAGCATTTTTTCCATACCCTAAAAGTGACTGAAAATGATAAGTGAAATAAAAATGATTTTTAAGGTTAATTTTTACCATATGAGGAAATTCTTTTGGATTCGCATCAACTCCACCACCGATGATTTTGTCTTCGTAAAATGTCTCCAAACGACGATATTCGTTACACTCTAATAAATTTTGTTTTTTTAAGAATTAAAAAGAAATGATTTTTTCTTACTTATTTCACTGATTCTTGGAGTTTTCGCTAAATTATGTTTTTCGCAACAAACTATTGGTGTAGTGTTATTAAATCCACAAAGAACTGGTGTTACCTTCTTTATAAGGTCTTTTTGCGCAGATTCGCAATTTTGAACAGCTTTACATATTCCTTCAATCCCATTTTTAAGCGCACAAGATTGATCTACTTCTCTTCCTTCAAATAATTAATGGTCACACAATTTTCAATAAGTTTTTCAATAAAGAATTTGTGTTACCTTGAGTGAGAACACACGCAGTCACAGCTAATGAAACAAACACCTTCACCTTCAAAGTCATCTTGCCTAACTGGTTGTAAGAACGCGAGTTTTTCCTTTATATTTATGAGAAACCATTTCCCATGGAGGCTGATTCACGCTTATATTAAAGAAAGAATGCATTTAAATTTTATTCTAGGTTACCAAAGAACTTTTTTTTTATTATTCAGTTAACGCCTTTTGATGTGGTTGTCATAGTTTGATATTTTTTTATATTGAATTCAAATATTCTAAATCTCAGCTTCGACGTCTAAAATAGGCATAGTTTTTTAAACTAATCCAAACAAAATCATAATCGTCATGCTCAATTTTTGTACATTTCTTCTTCTTATTCCTATTTTGTGACATCTTCTTTCTAACTTACCTTAAAGGTAAGTTTCCACATGTATGGATTACTGGCATGATACATGATTTAGTTGCATGTGGAAATAGCAAAAATACATTGGCCCCAATAAACTGGCGCCAGTAATTATAGCGCCAACAAAGTTGACAGAACGTTTACTTTTTGGTGCCAATAATAGTAGTGGTAAAGAAAACCAGCAACTGTGTAAACGTGTTCCTCCACCAAAATTGCGAAAATCTTGTAATAAACCGTCCAAAAAATGGATATCACAACAAATAATACAGTTTAACATATGAAACATGTGAAGAATACTCGTGTTTGTGAAACCATAAAATTCCGGAACATAAGGACCGAGCTGCAAGAAGGGTACTTGAGATTATGTCGAAAACAGTTCCCAATTTTGAAGGAAAACTCGGCAAGGCAAAAATAGAAAGTATACGCAATGCCAAATTCCTGCAGAAGTGGAGCATCAGCTGACTATGTGTATAAATCCACGTTACCATGGTATTCTGTGGACATGAAAAAATCTCCAGAGGCCGAAAATCTTAAAGTTGCTTGCACTTTTACGTGAACTAGAATGGAATCTCTTATATGAGTGTTTTGTTTTTGTGTTTTAAAGGATACTTGACTCAACAGAAACATGAAACTGTCTTCCGTCATTCGTAAATGAATAAATATGCTTCCTGATCTTCATGACATAGTTCCCTAATTAAAGTACTTGATGCACATTGATAATTTCTACGAGCAATCCACGATCTTTCTTTTTTTGCTAATAAATTCTGGAGTTCCAAGGAGCACATTTGTATTACCACATTAATGCAGTACCAAGTACATCACTAAACTGACTTTTTACAGGCGCCAGTAATCCATGCATGTGGAAACTTAGCTTTAGTTATTCATAGTCCATGTTCGAAAGCTTGAGCTTTCCCACCATCATATCGGCAGCCTTCCAGGGGATCTGTTTGGATGGTGGATCTCTAAGAGGGTCCATCATTGACTACCCTTAGCAGTATTCTCCCCATTCCCGTCTTTTCTTGCAGGTCCGTCTCACGTTGTTTTGGATATCTCTATCTTTCTGATTCTTTTATGATCCTACAAGCTTTATCCCGTTAATGACCTTGACCATATTGGCGAACCAACACAGATAAAGTATCTAATAGGTGTGCAGGTTCACTCAGTTTCCAACCTGATGCTTGACATAAGCGACTGTTAGTATTATTATTAGTAGTATTATTCCTTATTCAGTATTATTATCATAGTTAGCAGGAGTGTTGTATAACCATTTGTAAACGAGGTCTTCTACCAATATTTGGTTATCACATCTACTAATAACCACTCTCAAAGTCAAAAGTTTAAAACTAACGTAATCTCGACAACTCAACGGTCAATCTAAGATTTTCATAGGATTAAAAAAAAGTCAAATATATTGTAAAAGAGCATACAATTTATTATTAACTAATTTAAATTAGGCCAAACAATTGATTCAATCCAAGAAATATATTTAGAAACCCTCGTGTAAATACCTGGGACCAAATTACAATGAATCCCAAAAGAAGTTACCCCAACTATTTTATGAACAGGTGGTCTGAATTGTATTTGATACTGAAGAGGACCTCCCGAGTCTCCTTGACAAGTATCGACTCTTCTTTCCAAGTTACCTCCGCAAATTTGGGTGTTAGTCTCGATTCCATTGAGAAGTTCTTTTTGTGGTTTGTAAGTCGGTAAACATTTTTCTTTTTCTAAATTCATAAGATCCAATTTTTGTAGTTTATTATACATATCGCCCCCGTAAAATAAAGCACCCCAACCGGTGGCTGTTAACCGTCCCTCAAACTCTAAATCTGATTGTAAACAAGCCGGTTTTACATAAGTCGTAATTTGTACTGGTTTATTTAATTTCAGAATTGCAATATCGTTATACAATGAATCTGTGGTATAATCAGGATGTGGATAAGTATTGATAACTGAAAATTCTTGTGGAGCTGCGTCATCTTTGTCGGTTGCGGTATCTAAATCGCCGATTCGAACTACTTTTACTGGTCCCCTAAAATAAAAAAAATATTTTTTTTTGCAAATAATATTTTTATAAATTACAATTCTCTTGATTCCAAGCAATGAGCTGCTGTTAAAACAAATTGTTCACTGATTAAACTTCCAAATTGTTCCACATCGGAATTCTATGGAAGTATTATTTCCATATCCTAAAAGTGACTAAAAATGAAAAGTGAAATAAAAATGATTTTTATGTTTAGTTTTTTTTACCATATGAGGAAATTCTTTTGGTTTAGCATCAACACCACCACCGCCAACAATTTTTTCCTCCTCGTAATGTGTCATCAAACGACGATATTCGTTGCACTCTAACAAATTTTTTTTTTAAGGATTAAAGAGAAATGTTTCTTTCTTACTTTTTTCACTAATCCTTGGAGTTTTCGCCAAACTTTGTTTTTCACAACAAACTATTGGTGTGCTGCTATTAAATCCACAAGGAACTGGTGTTACCTTACTTATAAGGTCTTTTTTTGCCGATTCACAGTTTTGAACAGCTTCACATATTCCTTCAATGCCGTTTTTAAGCGTACAAGATTGACCTACTTCTCGTCCTTGAAATAAATAACGGTTATACAATTTTTAAGAAGAGAATCTTTAATGTCCTTGCAACAAATTTGGGTTACCTTGAGTGAGAACAAACGTAGTCACAACTAACAAAACAAACACCTTCACCTTCAAAGTCATCTTTTAAACTGGTTATATGAACACGGTGTCCTCCTTTATATTAACCACTCCCCGTAGAGGCTCAATGACGCGTTTACCAGAAATTATGTGTCTAGAGTTTATTATATTTTAATGAGAAAATACATTTATATTTTATTCTAGGTTACAAAAGAACTTTGTTTTATCATTAAGTAAACGCTTTTTTGTGTGTAATGGTCAATTTTTTTATTTATTGGCTTGTGCATTTCTTCCTCTTCCTATTTTAAGACATCTTATATCGTAGTTATTTATACTCTATGTTGGAAAGCTCGAGCTTTCATACTATCGTATCAGAGGTATTCCGAGGGATCTGTTTTTAGAAGTCCATCATTGAGGCTTTCATATATCTCTCTGATTCTTTCATGGTCCCACAAGTTTTATCCCGTTAAAGATGCTCTTAGCATCTTATTTCTGCTGTTTTCAGGATTCTCTTTGTGGTAGCATTTTCAATATGGAAATTTTGAATTCAAATATTCCAATACTGTGCTGATACAATGCATGGAAACCGTGTCATCTTGCAGGTTGCTCTGATTAGTGGGTCTGCTTTTTTATAAGTATAAGTTGTGTCGGGTTCAAATGGGAATGCCGGTTCGTGTATTGGTAAAAATGCTTAGCATCTCTAAAGCATCGCGGGTTTGCCAGTTAATATAGTACAGGTGGAGATGAACATGATGTGTATACGTCATTTAGACTCCTCCATGTAGATTTTGTATAATAATGGAACTGCTTATCTAAATGATATACAAGAGTAATAAGCTTGATCATATTGGCGAACCAAGACAGATAAAGTATCTAATAGGTGTGCAAGTCTAATCAGCTTCCAACCTGATGCTTCATGCAGTACTTTGGGTTGATATTGACATAAGCGACTATTAGTATTGTTGGTTATTCAGTATTATTATCATAGATAGCAGGAGCGTTGTATAACAAAAAGGGCACAATGAATTGCTATTAATTGTAAACGATGTGTATTATAGGATTAAAGAAAAAGTCAAATGTATTTTAAAAAAGCAAAAAATTTATTATAAACTAATTTAAATTAGGCCAAACAATTGATTCAATCCAAGAAATATACTTAGAAACTCTCGTGTAAATACCTGGCACTAAATTACAATTAATACCAAAAGAAGTTACCCCAACTATTCTATGAACAGGTGGCTTGAATTGAATTTCATACTGAAGAGGGCCTCCCGAGTCTCCTTGACAAGTATCGACACTTTTTTCTAAGTTACCCCCGCAAATTTGGATGTCAATGTCGATTCCATTTCGAAGTTTTCTTTGCGGTTTGTAAGTCGGTAAACATTTTTCTTTTTCTAGATTGACAAGATCCAATTTCTGTAGTTTATTATACATATCGCCCCCGTAAAATAAAGCACCCCAACCGGTGGCTGTTAATCGTCCCTTAAATTCTAATTCGGATTGTAAACAAGCCGGTTTAACATAAGTCGTGATTTGTACTGGTTTATTTAATTTAAGAATTGCTATATCGTTATACAATGAATCTATGGTATAATTAGGATGGGGGTAAGTATTGATAACTGAAAATTCTTGTGGGGCTGCGTCATCTTTATCTGTTGCAGTATCTAAATCGCCGATTCGAACTACTTTTACTGGTCCTCTAAAAATAAATAAAAAATATTTTTTGTTTAAACAAAAATTTTGTGTTTAAATACTTACAATTCTCTTGATTCCAAGCAATGAGCTGCTGTTAAAACGAATTGTTCACTGATTAAACTTCCCCCACATCGGTATTCTATGGAAGCGTTATTTTCATATCCTAAAAGTGACTGAAAATGAAAACTGAAATAAAAATTATTTTTATGTTTATTTTTTTTACCATATGAGGAAATTCTTTTGGTTCAGCATCAATTCCACCACCGCCAATGATGAAAGCTTGAATTGGGTAATATGTGTCCAAACGAAGATATTCTCTACACTCTAATAAATTTTGTTTTTTTTTAAGAATTGTTTGTATCTATTGTTTACTTACTTCTTTCACTGATCCTCGGAGTTTTCACTAAATTATCTTTTTCACAACAAACCACAGGTGTACTGCTATTAAATCCACAAGAAACTGGTGTTACTTTTTTTATAAGGTCTTTTTGCGCAGACTCACAATTTTGTACAGCTTCACATATTCCGTTAATGCCATTTTTAAGCGTACAAGATTGACCTATTTCTCGCCCTTGAAATAAATATCGGTTATACAATTTTTAAGAAGAGAATCTTTTACGTCGTTGTAACGATTTATGTTACCTTGAATGAGAACACACGTAGCCACAGCTAATAAAACAGACACCTTCACCTTCAAAGTCATCTTGCTAAACTGGTTATAAGAATACGGCTTCTACCTTTATATTTACGTGAAACCACATCCTGTGTAGATTGATTCACGTTTATCAGAAGTTATGTGTCTAGTAGAATATATTAATGAACAAAATGCATCTAAATTTTTGTCTAGGTTACTAAGAACGTTCTTTTTATTATTAAGTAACCTCCTTTTGATGTGGTCATCATAGTTTGATATTTTCTTTTACATAGAATTCATGTAATTGACCATAAATTGGCTTTTTATGGAGGGGACGTAGAAGACTGAATTATTTTTTTATGGTGATTTAATGCATAATATAAGATAAACTAGATAGCGTTAAAAACTAGAGTGAAAGCGTTAAGATCAATAGATCATAGAATGAAATAAAGTATAAGAATGAACTTCACTTAAGCTAGGAGATAAAAAAAGCTAAAATTTCAACACAAAGATATGGTATGCTTGACTTGGTAAGTTGATATGATGGAACCAACACTATACAAAATATTAAAGACGTTGTTCTCAACTCTTAAAATAACCACCAAACAAGTCTCAACCCTATTCCTCACCAGACAACAGTTACAGTATGTATTGTGTAATAGAAGTTAGATTTAACAACGTAGTCCTGATACTCAAGCTAATCCTACATATGCCCTCATTTCTTTTCTTAGTTAGGGTAGAGAAACCAGTTATGGCCACATTTAGTAAACTTCAACTTTTAAAATTCGGTATCTTAGTTAAAAATTGGAATACATGCGAGAAAACAATTAAAGTAGTGCTTTTTAGCTCTTGTTGCATATAGGCACCTTGCATTTTATTTGTGTATCAAGTATTTTAAAATACAAAAAATAAATTTCTAAAGTAAATCAATTTCCCCATTTATGGCCACCAAAACCGCTGTTATGACTATAAAAGTTTCCACTTATGGCCACCATAATTTGATTGCGTAGAAATCAACAACTGCAATAAAGTACAATTTTTAGATTTTATTAGGCACATAGATACAACAAAAGTTAAGGAGATGAATACATTTATTGTTTTTCAAATACGTCTACAGCACTGCGGAAAAGAAGCGTCATCTTTCGATCAACATTTTTCAGTTCGGGTTCTGGAAGCGTTCCATGGATTTCTTCCTTTTGTAATGGCACATTTGTTATTGTCTAACACTTTGAAATGTGTCTTACAATTAGTCTGATCTAAGCTTTTTAGACATTGTATTTCAAACTCATCACAAAATTTTTGCAGCACACTCCCGCAGGGCTGTAACTCCATACATATCAATTGTTTCTTGATTTTCTGTCTCAATATCGTCAACATCATCTAAGCTGCTCCCGCTTTCATTCCACTCTTCTTCTAAACAGTTTTCCGTTGTCTTCTTCGTCTTCTTTGCCTTCTCCGTCTCTACTTTATTTTTCTGCATTTCCCTTTTCTTCTTTTTCTCCATTTTCAGCTCTTATTAAATTTTCTTCCCTTTCTCTTTGAGTTCAAAATATTTCACCCATTTGTCAGACGTAACAATGCTTGGAGTAAATTCTTTTTTCCTTTTTCGTACTGTCCTATGGTGTGGTCAAGGAATGACATCATTGAACACTGAGACAAGAGACCGTTTAGGCGTGGCAAGTACGTTGATGATGTTAATGGATCAACACTTTCAGCTCTGCTATTGAAATACAAATCCTATGAGCTTTTCCTTTTGGAGCCAAACAGAAGCAAGTCTCATCCATATTAAAGACGCGCTCTGGATCCCTTATTGCTACAATTTCTTCTTCTGTGAGTAAAATTTCAACTTCCTTAAACCAGTTCCGTATTTTGACGTATATGCCTTGTTGACATATTCAGTATGCTTCTGGGTGTCTATTTAGGAAAGAAGTAAACCACATTTTGCTGGGCTTATTCTTGAAAAATTGAGTTTTCAAAATCCATTAAAGCATCAAATTTAACAGAATGGCCATAACTGGGTTTACGCTAATTCATTTATGGCCACGTCATGGCCATAACTGGCAAACTTCACAAAATTCGCTCTACTTATGGCCACGTTAACAAAAATACGCTTTATCTCAATTTATAGTTATATTATTATTATAAAATTATTATTATTATATTAAATACAGTGGCCATAAACGGTGCGACCTATCTTGTCTTGCTCTTTTTCTAACTAACGGTATGTATGGATGCAGCTCCGTTATGTCGATTAGCAACAAAAATATATTTCAAATATGTGTACTTCCCATATTTGTGTACCACATTTACCAATGTGGCTGCTCTGTATGTCTAGAGTTAAAACCAGCATAATCCCGACATATTGACGATGCACATCGGTGTTGAACAAGGGATGCTCATCAACGTAATATAATCAAATTTCTCTGCTTCAGGTTTGACTGTTGAAATTCTGTTTGAATTTTCTTTTCTAAGACAACAGACTTCAACAGAATTGGTCCTCATTAGCTTGACTAATAAAATTTAGTTAAAACCTTATCAACTAATACACCACCAAATATCTTCCTATTGGGAGTTAGTATACCAGATGTAAGTAATGTGTTGATAATGGTCTTTTTTGCTATTTATTTATTGCAATTACAAACACTATCACAGTTCTGATTGCAAGCAAACATGTGACGTTTATGTAAGATATTGATTCTGGAGTCTCCAACAGGAAAACTTTAGGTAGTCTATCACAGGCAATTCTATGGCTATATTTATGCAGAAAATTCTGTTTAGAGTTGACCAGGTTTTGCGTGGTAAATCAACACTAGGAGGCTATTGGGTGATACATGTGATCTGATTGTTATGTTTTGCAATTCATTCTCGATGCCAAGCGTTAGTTAAGCCGAATTCTTCATCTAATGCAGTGGCCATTGTTTTGATCGGTAACATTCTGGATCAAAGGCAGGTGTGGTTGACGTTCTCAATTTCCACGTGTATTGGTAGGTTTTGGTTGCTCAAGATCTGCTTGTACCCTCTCGTGAGGATATTTATGCGGTGAAGGTTTGGAAGTGATACATACCTGAGTACTGGGAGCCATTCCATTGGAGTAGATTTGATAATCACAGTAATCAGCGGTTGAGAAGACGACCCATATTTCACAGAGTTTGTATAATATTGTTCCTCATTTTTAGTTTCTCCGCTGTTTTCATTATATGCATTTAAATGAGTTTCTTTTTTTATTTATAGCAATTATTTCAGTTCTATCAGGTAGTGTATGCTCTCTACCAACAATACATCTACTGGGAAAGCTTCCAGCTCCCTACCTTTACACATCCTCTTTTAGGTCTAATGTAAAATCTAATTTCTGCGAAAACTTCACGTTTTTAATAAAATCGTTGCCTAACATAAATGCTTTTTATGGACAAGCATCATGGTTTATTACAAAGTACTTTCAGAGATAATAAACTAAAATATTCACAAATATTGTTGGTACGGACCAAAAATGTTACAAATTAGGAAAAAATAATTTTGCAAAAAATATAAATCGAGGAGGATTTAAAAAAAGTCAAAGATATTGTAAAGAAGCAAAAAATTTATTATTAACTAATTTAAATTTGGCCAAACAATTGATTCAATCCAAGAAATATATTTAGAAACTCTGGTATAAATTCCTGGTACTAAATTACAATGAATCCCAAAAGAAGTTACCCCAACTATTTTATGAACAGGTGGTTTGAATTGAATTTGATACTGAAGAGGACCTCCCGAGTCTCCTTGACAAGTATCAACAGATTTTTGTAAGTTACCCCCGCAAATTTGGATGTCAATGTCGATTCCATTTCGAAGATTTTTTTGCGACTTATAAGTCGGTAAACATTTTTCTTTTTCTAGATTCATAAGATCTAATTTTTGTAGTTTATTATACATCTCGCCCCCGTAAAATAAAGCACCCCATCCGGTGGCTGTTAATTGTCCCTCAAATTCTAATTCGGATTGTAAACAAGCCGGTTTAACATAAGTCGTGATTTGTACTGGTTTATTTAATTTAAGAATTGCTATGTCGTTATAAAATGAATCTGTGGTATAATCAGGATGTGGGTAAGTATTGATAACTGAAAATTCTTGCGGGGCTGCGTCATCTTTATCGGTTGCAGTATCTAAATCGCCGATCCGAACTACTTTTACTGGTCCCCTAGAATAAAAATGATTTTTTTTAAACCTAAAATTTTTGTTGTAATTGTTTACAATTCTCTTGATTCCAAGCAATGAGCTGCTGTTAAAACAAATTGTTCGCTGATTAAGCTTCCACCACATTTAAATTCTATGGAACCATTATTTCCATATCCTAAAAGTGACTGAAAATGAAAAGTGAAATGAAAATGATTTTTAATTTTGATGTTTAATTTTTACCATATGAGGAAATTCTTTTGGTTCAGCATCAACACCACCACCGCCAATGATTAACTTAACTACCTCCACGTAATATGTGGTCAGACGGCGATATTCATTACACTCTAACAAATATTGTTTTTTTAACTATAAATAATATAACTATTAAATAAAAATTATTTTACTCTTACTTTTTTCGCTGATCCTTGGAGTTTTCGCCAAATTATGTTTTTCGCAACAAACTATTGGTGTAGTGTTATTAAATCCACAAAGAACTGGTGTTACCTTCTTTATAAGGTCTTTTTGCGCAGATTCGCAATTTTGAACAGCTTTACATATTCCTTCAATCCCATTTTTAAGCGCACAAGATTGATCTACTTCTTTTCCTTGAAATAATTAATGGTCACACAATTTTCAATAAGTTTTTCAATAAAGAATTTGTGTTACCTTGAGTGAGAACACACGTAGTCATAGCTAATGAAACAAACACCTTCACCTTCAAAGTCATCTTGCCTAACTGGTTGTAAGAACGCGAGTTTTTCCTTTATATTTATAAGAAACCACTTCCCATGGAGGCTGATTCACGCTTTTACGAAAAATTAAGTGTAGAATATATTAATGAAAGAATGCATTTAAATTTTATTCTAGGTTATCAAAGAACGTTCTTTGTGTTCTTTTTACTATTAAGTAAACGCCTTTTGATGTGGTCATCATAGTGTGATATTTTCTTTTATATAGAATTCGTGTAATAGATCATAAAATGACATGGCTTTCCATTGAGGGGACGTAGAGGATTTTAGGCGTTGAAAATTATTGATGCCGACGTGTATAAAGCGACACACGTCAACTGAATTATTTTTTTGTGATGATTTAATGGGTTCTGGGTGCGCCAAATGCATGTGCAAAAATCGCTTTTTCCCATCTGACTACGCATTGTAAATCAATCATTTCGGGCGTGATACAAAAAACCGATAAAATTTCGCACCCTTCGTTTCGCGAACGAAAGAAAGAAAAAGTGTGAAAAAAAAGGGGGGCACCATAATGGAGCTGCCGATTCGTCTTCGCGATGAATATTAAGTTTTTCTATCGATCGGTCAAGAAATCGGGTTGACGGGGCGTATACCTATAGGTGTTTCCTTCAAGTTGGGAATGATTGGGAAGTTTAGGGCGAGGGACGGAAAGAAATGGAAAAGTCAGGTTTTTGGCGCTCAGTCCAAGTAGCAAATTGCATTCCGGCAGCTCTGCGAAGTTACATTTTGAATTCCCTTTGTAGCAAAAGCTGTAGGCGAGTGGAATTCGGTAGACTGCACGTGTGCGACTTTAAAATTTAATTTCATTCCGCCTGTGAAAGGGGTTCGTTTCTGGCCATGGGAAGAGACGCAGGATTGGAATTCATATTTTAATGGCAGCCCTTTGCTTCCATCACTTACGGTCACAAAGTACAATTTTAATATTTACATTTTTATTTTGTTTTATTGCAACAGTTTTTGAAACTCTGTTTCTGATAAAAGATTGCGAATAGGAATAAAAGTAGAAATAACCATTTGTCAGGTTGTCTAGTTTTATATTTGGCAGGAAGACCGCGTCCCTGGAATAGTAGGTACACGTAATACCGGCAAGAAATCCAATAACGTCGAACCGAAGAATGGGGCAATGAATCTCTATAGACCCCGCTACGCCCCTATCTCTGCCAAATCGGTTGTATTTATTAATACCAACACCGTTCCAAAGACGCCCTGTCTACGAAAAAGAGGAGGCGACCGGGGTCCCATAACTCGCCTTCGGGAAGATTAAAGTACATCCGGACTACTTCGGTCTTGGATTTAATTAAAAAAAAAGGAGACCCCGCTACCAGAAGGGGGGAATCCCTAGCTGGCAGCGAATCGGATTTCTACGACGTTTCTACAAATGAGAGTTTTATTCGGGACGCGCGCTTTAAAATTTATGGTTGTATTTTAATATCGCTCGATATTGGAACATCAGTCAGCCGCTACAAAGGGCCCACCCCAGTCGGCTTCCCTTTGTATTCGATTTTCTTGCGCGGCTCCCGTTGCCGTTTTAAAAGGAATTTAATTACGACCCGTTATGTTGCGAGTGATTGCGGACGTTGTTTCTTTAAAATAACCATCGTCGTTGGAAATTATAATTTTCTCATTTTATACTTATTTTTGTATAAAATTATGAAAAAGGAGCAAAAAAATATTTCAAAAAAACAATTTTAACTTGTTTTTAATTTAAATTGAATTAATTATTAAATAAAATAAAGTTATCAACTATTACAAGTGATTATACGAAAATCGATGGCTTATAATCGGCGATATTTGTATGCTGATTTTATGTAAAGTGTGTAAACTATGTAGATGGCCAATCAATAATGCGGTTAACTACAATACTTAATGAAGTATATTTAAATAATCGAGTACTTTCGATTATTCCAATTACAAACGATTATAATACAATTCAACAGAATTTCTAGTACGCTGTGTGTTTAATTTAATTAGTATTAAGTTGTAAATTAAATAATATAAATGTTGTTTCGTCGTGGAGGATTATTCTCCAGATTTTTCTGCTCTATCTATAGAGTTCTTAAGAAAATTTTATGGAACCAAACTATGGAAGAGATTTTATTTTTACTTCTGAAGTTGTTATATAGGATGTTCTAAAATATTTTCGATCTAAAATATTTTTATCATGGTCACCACTTCAAGTCCACCTGAACTAGACCACATAATCGTTATCTTAAATGTTAAATATTTCAAATTTTTAATAATATTATTTTATAGTTTTCATATCATACCATAAACAAGAATTTTTAACATTTAATTTACGAAATATATCATATCATTATCCTTAAAAATACAGTCGATATGATTTTTTGAAAATTTCATATTATTTTTGATTTATGTTTAATAATGTTTTCCTGGATATTTCAATAATCTATAAGACGATTATAGTTTTTATATCATATACTTTTTTAGTTTTTATAATGTATACGATATTTTTTTTTGAAAATTTCGTTATTTTTTATTTATAAATTTGACAATTTCTTCTTTAATAATATTTTTGCTGGGAATTTCGATAATATTCTCTTATAGTTTTTATATCATATCATAAACTAGAATCTTTAGGCTAAAATTTACCATACATATCATATAAAAATTTTTAAAAATACGGTCGATACGGTTTTTTGAAAACTGCGTTATTTTTGATTTTTTTAATTTAACAATTTCTTCTTTAATCTTTTTTTTCTGGTAATTTTAATAATATTGTCTTATAGTTTTTATATCACATCATAAACTAGAATCTTTAAGCTTTAATTTAACATACATATCATATCTTGATTCTTAAAAATATATTCGATATGATTTTTTGAAAATTTCGTTATTTTTTATTTATAAATTTGACAATTTCTTCTTTAATAATTTTTTCCTGGGAATTTCAATAATATTATCTTAAAATTCTTATATCATATCATAAACTAGAATCTTTAGGCTACAATTTAACATATATATCACATTAAAATTTTTTAAAATACGGCCGATATAATTTTTTGAAAACTTTGCGTTATTTTTTTTTAATTTAACAATTTCTTCTTTAATATTTTTTTCTGGAAATTTCAATAATATTCTCTTATAGTTTTTATATCATATCATAAACTAGAATCTTTGGACTAAAATTTACCATACATATCATATCAAAATTTTTAAAAATACGGGCGATGCGATTTTTTGAAAACTTCCTTAAGTTTGATTATTTTAATTTAACAATTTCTTCTTTAATATTTCTTTTCTGGAAATTTAAAAAATATTCTCTTATAGTTTTTATATCATATCATAAACTAGAATCTTTAGGCTAAAATTTACCATACATATCATATAAAAATTTTTAAAAATACGGTTGATACGGTTTTTTGAAAACTGCGTTATTTTAGATTTTTTTAATTTAACAATTTCTTCTTTAATCTTTTTTTCTGGTAATTTCAATAATATTGTCTTATAGTTTTTAAATCATATCATAAACTAGAATCTTTAAGCTTTAATTTAACATACATATCATATCTTGATTCTTAAAAATATATTCGATAAAATTGTTTGAAAATTCGTTATTTTTTATTTATAAATTTGACAATTTCTTCTTTAATAATTTTTTCCTGGGAATTTCAATAATATTATTTTAAAATTTTTATATCATATCATAAACTAAAATCTTTAAGCTACAGTTTAACATACATATCATATCAAAATTTTTTAAAATACGGTCGATATGATTTTTTGAAAACTTTGCGTTATTTTTTTTTAATTTAACAATTTCCTCTTTAATATCTTTTTTCTGGAAATTTCAATGATATTCTCTTATAGTTTTTATATCATATCATAAACTAGAATCTTTAGGCTAAAATTTAGCATACATATCATATAAAAATTTTTAAAAATACGGTCGATGCGATTTTTTGAAAACTTCGTTAAATTTGATTTTTTTAATTTAACAATTTCTTTTTTAATATTTCTTTTCTGGAAATTTCAATAATAATTTCTTATAGTTTTTATATCATATCATAAACTAGAATCTTTAAGCTTCAATTTAGCATACATATAATATCTTGATTCTTAAAAATATAATCGATATGATTTTTTTAAAATTTCGTTACTTTTTATTTGTAAATTAGACAATTTCTTCTTTAATAATTTTTTCCTGGGAATTTCAATAATATTATCTTAAAGTTTTTATATCATATCATAAACTAGAATCTTTAGGTTACAATTTAACATACACATCATATCAAAATTTTTAAAACTACGGTCGATATGATTTTTTAAAAACTTTGCGTTATTTTTTTTAATTTAACAATTTCTTCTTTAATTTTTTTTTCTGGAAATTTCAATAATATTCTCTTATAGTTTTTATATCATATCATAAACTAGAACCTTTAGGCTAAAATTTACCATACATATCATATAAAAATGGTTAAAAATACGGTCTATACGATTTTTTGAAAACTGCATTATTTTTGATTTTTTTAACTTAACAATTTTTTCTTTAATCTTTCTTTCTGGTAATTTCAATAATATTGTCTGATAGTTTTTATATCATATCATAAACTAGAATCTTTAAGCTTCAATTTAACATACATATCATATCTTGATTCTTAAAAATATAATCGATATGATTTTTTGTTAAATTAGACAATTTCTTCTTTAATAATTTTTTCCTGGGAATTTCAATAATATTATCTTAAAATTTCTATATCATATCATAAACTAGAATCTTTAAGCAAGACTAATAACATATTTGACCAGCCTGTATAAGATTGATCGATACAACTAATTACGTTCCATTTGTGAACATCAAACAACGTTGCAGATACCAAAAAACCTTTTGTGCACTTAAGTCCAAAACTATATAATGTAGTGTAATTAAAATAAATCATGTAACAAGGACATGATAATTAACAGTTGCGTAGTTTAACCATATAAATGAAGTAACGAGCATTGGAGAGATGTTCTCTAATTGTATGTAAATGAGACAATTTAACGTTCATTTCAGTAGCAAATATATCGATGACCGTGGTTATAGCTCTGTATTTATGAAGGGTTAATGTGAATTGAGAACGTATATCATGTTCGGTTAGTAATTATAGAAGAAGTAACCACCGGTAATGTATCTATAACGCCACCTCGAAGTTACACGATTAATCTCAACCATATGGACCTCTCGGATCGAGGTCGGTCGAGTTAATAATTCCATGATACGGTGAGTATTTATTATCATTAGGGTGTTCCATTTCGCAGGCGCGTCGGTTTCGACGCTGGTGGCAATTTCAATCTGGGACGATTCGACCCATGAGACCGCAACGTATAATAAGTATGCAAAAAGGGAAAATTGCAACCGACAATCACGAGTCCTAAAAATACGCCGAAAAAGTCACGGGGAAGTAATTAAGGGTGGAAAAAACAGTTTGTGACCACAAAAGCTTCCATTACGCGACGCTATTGACTATGCATTCGAAAACGCTTTCAGTCCGAATGGAGCCGAACGGAAAATGCATTACCGCAACACGTTAGCACCAGAAAGAGTTCCACTTCGTGTGGAGCTTATTCCCGTTTCCAATCCAAACCCTATCTGTACTTAAATCGTTGCCGTTTGACGTTTAAGGGTTTCATTTTTATTTTATTTCCTTGATATTTTATTTATTTATATTTATAGATTGAAACCATTATTAAAATAAGACTAAAACAAGACTTTGATCCTACTATTCATGATTGAACAAATTGTTCGAAATGTTGGGTTCAACAGCTTCGCCCAACAAACTTGGTTGTGGATGGACTCGCTACCATGCTCGATAGATTTGTTGGGTTTAGCACTCGACACGACTGTTACGTCCAACTCAAATTCAACACCCAACATGTTCAAACGTAAATGGTGAACCGTCCAGCTACACACCTCTCAAGTCCTCGATTTACACCGTTTTTAATGGTGTACTACTTGCTACAAAAATGTTTTTAATGGCAATAAAAAGAGATTACGAAAATATTACAAAGAAATTACACTGTGTAAATTAACATAAAGAGCACCATAATAAATCATTTCTTGTCTTATCATCAGTTTTTCTGACCAATATAAATTTCAAATTTATAAGCAACACTTTAGTTGTTTGTTCCCCAATGTGTATCTCCTTCCAGGCTTAAGTCAAGGTTCAGACGACCAAACCAGCCTTAATATCGTGGTATTTGTGAGATATAATATTGCGAAAGATATATCATACAAAGTAAAATCTGCATATACAAGACTTGCGTATGACTTACGCTGTGGAAACAAGGGCTGAAAACTCTACAACAAAAGGAAGCATTCGAACAAGAGAGATGAGGACCCTACGATTCATAGTAGGCTACACCCTGAGGCACCATAAGAGAAGCGAAGACATCAGAGAACTTTGCAGTGTCCAAGATATAGTCCGATGGTCCCGAACCAAACGCATGGAGGGATCATGCTGAGCGGTTGAATGACAACAGATTGCCGAAAAATGCAAAAAAATTGAAAATTTGCGAAAATTGCTGTTATTCATCATCCCAATCACGTCTCTAAATTATAAAGTACCAGACAAAGGCCTTAAAAAGAGAAAGAAGAAGAATAATAACCAAGACAAAACAAACATTTTACTTTGTACATAAATGCAGAACTTATTTTTATAGTACTACATGTTGTTAAAATTTGAGTAAAACCGATAAATCCAATCATTATTGAAAATTTATAATTTCAAATAATTACACAACTACAATTACAGCAATGACACAACTACAATTTTTGTGTGAAACGATGCAAATGGATCTATATTATAAATCTAAATTGGTGTATTTGAATTTGTATTTATTTTTATAAACCTATCAATCATGAATTTCGAGGCATGGTATTTCAAATGCACATATTGATTCACGTCACAATTCAAATATAGATTTGTTCTCAACCTTTGACATGGATATTCCTTAGGGGAAATCCCACTTTCTCATTTTATAAAGACAAGAACCAATAAACTATTAGAATAATTTTATTTTAATGACATTACCAATATCATTTGTATTAAAACAAAATTGCATTATAATTTTTGTTTATTATTGTATGCGGGTATTTTTTCCACAAGGATCGAGTTCAATGTTCCAATAATACGTGGTTCAAAACGGTAAATATCCCGTTTAATGTATCGCAATTTCCAACGAGATGAGATAAAGTCTGTAATTCCCTACAGACGTAGTAAACTCTACGTTGCATATAAACGCTCGAAATTCCAATTAGCGTCCAGTATGCCTTCGACCTTACTTGGTATCGCAACGATCCTTGAAGAGAAATGAAGACGTGGCAGATTCTTGTATCGTTTTGTTGCTTAACCTTCGTTAAGTGCAATGGCGTTTACAGAATCCCAACTCCAACCTTTGAGCCTTACAAACCACGTGGTCTTAAACTTAGCATACCGAACGAATCAGGGATAACATTAGTGGCTTTTCACATCAATATTAACCAGGATATCGAGTCGAAAGAAGGCGAATATACTAAGTATATAGTGAATCCGATGAACAACAGATGGGTTTATACTAATGAAGTTTTACGATTGAGACTAGCTGACAAAGTTTACGTTAGGATAACCGTTTTAAAAGATGGAGAACAATATGCTTATGTTTTTGCACCGTTTATAGTTCAAGGTGAGTCATTGATTTTTAAAGATGGTGTTGTTTGTAAATGTTTCTTATTTTTGTAAAGAAACATAAAAATAAAAATGCTGCAGAAAGAGGTCCAATAAAACGGCGTTTCGTGTAGATTCCCAACGGCTCGCCAAAACGTTATTTACTGCAGTAATTTCCGAAGCATCGTGTTGGCATTATTTATTTTTGGTCGGGGTCGAGCCCCAGCGACGAAGCCCGTTCACCCAACTACGTTCCCAGAATAATTGTTGAAATATTGCAGAGTGCGATAGGCGCCGTACAGCTATTCTTTTTCTTTATCTTCTTTTTTCGACATATTGTGACCGCGATTCTATCAAGAATTATACACACATAAAACGCCATCGGGGGTCATCATAACGATAACCTCTCGTTATAAATAATATAATAATAAATAGACTAAAACAAAGGTTTTGGGCAGTGAGGATAAATAATGCAAACTATCTAATTGGGTTCGTCCCAACTTGCATAAATCTGACCTTCGAAGCGAAACGTAGGTCAGGTATTTACATACTCGCGACACATAGGGGTGCTAATGCCTCGAAATTGCGATCTTTTATTCATGAGTGTTTAATTATGTTGGTTGCCGGCGACTCCGTGCGGTGGCGCTCTAGTTACTTCCGTCGCATGCACCATCTCGTGTCCTATCGTCGACATCTCCTTCCTCAACAAAGCCCATACCCAATTGAAAATTGTACCCCTTACTAATATATTCTTTTTTTGCAGAACTTTTACCTCAAACATCTATTTCAAATCCTTATTCATCCACAACAACAACTACTCAACGACCGCAATATGTGATACCAACAGTTACTTCAACATTTCCACCATCATTATCCGGAAACTGCCAAAGAGTTCTTCAAAATGTAACGAGGATTACTTTAGACTTGGAAGAAAAACTGGCCGAAGCTGGTGAGAACATCGACGCATTAAAAGATTTACTTCCGGGGCCTTATTTTGTAACAATCGCCGGAACTATCACTCAAACCTACGATGATCCTTACGATGTTGTTAACTTAGCGCTGAAGAATTTGTTGAAAGTAAATCGAGTGTCATATAAAACTTGCGTGAGAAACAGGGACTATATTGTTTGCGAACTTTCTAGTATTGACGATAAAATTGAGTTAGTAAAATGTTCAAAGAAAAGTACAGCTCAATCCTCGCAGATTAAAATTATTTATTGAAAAATTTGTATTTTTTAGATTTTATTTTTGAGTATTTACTATTTAAAACAATAAAAAATTTAAATATGATTAAGTTGATTATTTTATTAATTTTTTTTTTTGAGGTGATCGTGTTCACAAGAGGTTTCGATAAGAAGTCTAATCCTAACCAAGAATTAATTTGTACACGGTGTAAGTAGTTCGCGTGAGAACATCGTGTTTGTTGAAAAGGGGAACAACATGCCACCACATAAATTATGCCACCAACTATTATTCTTTAACCCCTCTTTTATTTTTTTATTGCCATTTAAAAGCTTTTCGCACAGTATAAATACCGAGGTCGTTACAAATGTTTAACAAATTATACGTGAAAATTTGCGATTTCGACATCTCTCGCTAACAGGAATTGGAAACGAGTTTTATCCCCTCGAAAATCCCGATAAGCTTTCGGTTAAAAAAATCGCTTTCGGGAGCACTTGTTAAAATTTAAATCGTGTCCGCTTCCTCTCCATCCCCGTTAATTGGCAAACGTTGTTAATTGGCAACATCGCCCCGGCCTTTGACGGGCGACACCGGCCAATTTTAATTCCTCGATAGGCCGGGGGGTCCCGTGGGGTTGCTCGTACACATTATCATATAGATTATGCCATCATTTGATATTCGAACAATGGCCCTCGTGCGCACCGCGTGTACTGTTAATATCAAAAACAATGCGCCGTTCGGACCGTTAATAACGAATATAATTACCACTGTCCGGCCATAGATGACCGTACTAGCGCAACGTGATGTGACTACAAGAGTTGACCATACCCCAAACCCTCTATGACGGGAAACGAAACTAAAGTGCTTTTGTGGGGCATCAGTATGGTTACATATGCATATTGAACATGTTTGTAACCAGTGTACCGTATTACATGATGTGCATGGTTTTCATTTTATGCATGGTATCTTTTAGGTACAACAGGATAAGCATTACCTAATACTAAATTCATGTTATTAATTGTGTAATTGTAAATGTCAAGTCAAAATCAATGAAGTTGATCAAAAAATACATTTATCTACTAATAAATATAATAAAAATAACACTATACATCACTACATCTCTCTGCTTAGTCCCAAATACAACAGTGTGTGTCAAAACAACGTACTCACACTTCGAGTAACGAGAAAAACATTATTTATGAACATAGAGTGAAATGGAATGGCATCGAACTTTGTCTTTAAGATCCCACAAAAAGAAGTCTATGGGCGCGAGCTCTGGGGAACGCGCAGAGTATTCAATGGTACCCCTTCGTGCAATCCATGTGTCTGGAAAAGCTGCGTCGAGGTGAGTTTGTACATCGCGATGGTACATAATGGGAAGGTTGCTGAATATAGGTTCATGTTGCTGAAAGTAAATTTCGTAGTGATCACCAAACATCTCTGAAATTTGTGGACCGAGTAACTCCTGAAGCAAGTTGGTCCCAATGCGGATATCCTATACCACATTGTTACTTCCGGTAAGTTTGTGAGGATTTACAGGACTCCAGTACGTGCAATTGTGGCGATTAATAGAGCCATTTAATTTAAAAGACATACAATTTTGTGTGGAAATCCTGAATCTTCTTCACATTTTGTCAGGTACCATTCACAGAATTGAACTGTCCGGTCAGAATCGTCTTCGTTGAGAGAAGAATTACAGTTGGAATGTGGCATTTTTAGTGCAGATGCTTCATGATGCGATGGTAGATTTTATCTTTTGAGATGTGGGTTTCCCGAGCAGTTTGTCGAAGAGATGTCTGTGGTGATCAAAGGGGTGTTTACTGCACCTGCTCTCCTTTTCATCTTCTTTTCATCTTCTTTTCATTCTTTTCACATTTAGATTACTAAATTATATACGTAATTTAAAAAATAGAATATATTCTTTAGAAGTTAGACTATCTAAAACAATAAAATCTGAAAATAAAAGACAAAAAGCTAATGAACGTGATACAGATTTGTTCTGCTTTTGCTGGAGTTTCAAAAAAAGGCGGTTATGGTAGTGTAGTCATATTATCAAAAAACGTGATAAAGACAAAACTTAGGGACGATATTGCAATGTTGTCGGTCGAATCGATTTGTGAAATCGCCGCGGTTCAACTTATTGATTATAATATAGTTCTTGTTAGTACGCTATAGATTTGTTTAGCTTGTGCAAAGACATTGTATTTTAATTTTATTATACATATGTGTATGTTATTGTTGTATATTTTGGTTGTATATTATGTGACTTGTGTAGTAAATTGGGTGGTTCTGTGACACCAATAAATCCAATAAATGTTAGCGACAGTTAATGTGTGGGTACATTTTTTTGAGATACCTGAATATAGAATTTTGCAATTATTCTATAACATTTTAACAACATGTAACCAAGAGGATGCATATCTAGTGGGATATGCTGTTGATCTTGTTGTTGTTATCCTCAGCTGAGTATTTCACATAAACATAAACGAAGTATTAAGATGACCGTAATAGCAATTGCGGTCAAATTGGTCTTCTTGACAAGAAGAATCCTTCTAAAAGTACCTCGGTAAATTGTTGAAAGAATTGTTACCGGTGTGGCTACCAAGTATCTCAGTATAATTATCGCATCAAAGTTATCATTGCAAAATATGTGATGAAGGTGTGCTATAAGACGGCAAGGTTAATCATTGTTCTTACACTTAATGGCAAGTATTAGGGGGACCCATAACATCCAACTGTAAGTTACTGATGGAGGTGCCATATATGATTATGTTGTAGACCTTAAGAAAACGATTGGGTTAGAAACGACATCTTTCAAATGTGGCAGAATAGGTGAAAATAAGAGTGGAGTCAATGATGAACAGCGTGTTTTAAACCTAACATTGCAGTGTGGCCTGCTAGAAAACACAGTGATATAAATAAGATAACTGCATCTGATTCCAGAGATTACCTCAATAACATCAGATAAAATAGGCTACCATTTAAGTCTTCAATGCCTACCATTGAAGAAAATGCGACCAATGTTAGTGTCGAAATCACGGCAGTCTAATAAGCTGAGAAAAGAGATATGGATATAGGCAACTTAACCTCCTCTGGTTCCCGTCACATACAAAATATGCATTATTGATTGTTTTCTTCGTTTATTATTCTTGATACATTCCAAATTAGTTGTTAAACCACCCTTTTCGTCTTCCACCAAATAGATTCTTTAAGATTTTTGTGGTTCTTCTTTTCTTTTGTTTCACATTCACAATTAGTCATTCTTTTCAATTTCTCCTTTGAAATCAAAGTTTGTGCAGTTGGGAATTTCAAGAACGAAAGGAACGTCAATATGATCATAGAATGCATTGTGTGATATTTCATAGCCCCACCCTCTCTTCGTCCTTCACCACCACAAATTTTGTACGCTTTTGACGAACTTCAACAAAGAGTTCTATTACAGTTAACACCTATCCCACCATTAGAGTTTGATGAGATTGGTTTGGACCAAGAAGTGGCGCTATGAATTCGAAAGGTACAAATACTCGTTCCGGATTTTGAATTTCTTTTTTAAATTAGATCATAATGGAGATGTTGACGAAGATGTAGAAAATCCTGCCTTATGTTAACCTTACACAACCAATATGATGTAATATACTAATTATAAGAGTAAAGAAAAACTTTTCATGAACACTTAGAAAGTTTGAACAACACGAAATTGCCCGTTTCTAAAACCCTACAATTACTTACAACTTTAAAGCTAGTAATAACTCTTGAATAACTTTTCGACATGTTATGAAAATTTCCTAAAGAAATTTGATTTCAAAAATCCAATGTTTAATTGTTTAAATGTAACAAATTAATTCATTTTCGTGTGTAATTTTCGATAATAATAATTTTATTGATTAATTTATAATGGAAATGGAAGTTATTAGGGTGAGATGTGCCGGTTGAACGGAGATGAAGGAAAACGGTCTCAATTAGCATAACCAGGAGCGTTAATGTGCACGAGAATTGCGGGTAATAGACGGAAATTTTGAAGGCGAGGTAATTGGCGCGATTAATGAAGAGGTCGTGGATTGGGGATCGCTCTCCAATAATTAATATCTCGGGTTCGACGTTCGACCTTTATAGAAACCGTTATAGCGTCTTAAATATAAACGTTTTAAGACGTTAGAGTTGAACTAATTATAGTGGAAAGAATGGTAATAAAAAAGGTTTGTGTTTGTATTGTAAATTACAATAGTTTATTGTTTCGGTAAAGAACTGTAAAATAAGCAAATCTTCAAGGGAATTTATCGTGGTAGACGGAGGGAAATCCTAAAAGATAAATTCCGCAATTCCGCGGAAAAATCGCGATATCAAAAAGAAACTCGCCAGAAATTTTAATTAAAACGACGGGAGCCTTCTCTCCGCGATAAATTCCGAAGGATTGCTACAAGTTGGCGAGGAGCGTGGCATAACTAACTGTCTATTGTTCTGGGAGAATTATCCTTCCCAAGCGGAAAGGAATGTACCGGAACGGCAAGCAGCGCCCCCGCGCGGCGCGGCGTCGGAGCGAACTCGAGCTGGGATTGAGTTACAGCCTTCTTATAAATAATATACCGATATATTATTTTCGAGTAGCGATGCTCCGGACGGCGAGATTACTGGAGAATCCGTGGTTTATGGCGGGCCCGCGAAATCGTATTCTTTCACCCCTTCCGGTTTCTTTCCACCACACCCCTTAACTTTTTTTTCGAGGAAGTATTTATGTCTCCGCATACACGCGGCATGTTTATCGTTCCTCTGTGAATTTCCTGCGACTCTCTTATTCGAGTACAGACCAAACGGGGAAGTTGTAAAACCACCGAGGAACTATATTTTACATCTGCAACTGATAAACAGATAAATCCAGGTTTTGAAACTGTCGATTCAGTCGGTTTTGCGAAAGAATCCCACAAATTCAAAATTATTTTCCAAGTTAATATTGTTTAATGTTATAATTTAACTCTAAATAAATATTTCTTAGACATTTTATTTTTTATTACCGGCGCATCCACCAATATTGCAATAAAAAACCTC